GTATGACATTTCCTAGATTTCAACCAAACCAAGTTGTAAATTGCAACAAATACTGTAAGAGATGACAGAGTTAGCAATAACAGACACGTCTGCCAGATTGTTAATCAGATTACCATTATTAGATTACATATCACAAATCATTCTAGTTGTATCTACACATCAGCTGGCTAATTGCGTGTGTTTTATCTGATGTTGCAGTATATATACATTTTCTTAAATCAAGGCCAGGATATTAATAGTGGGATCTGATAAAGGCTCTGATATTTGCCAACATTTTAATCACGTTAGTTCAGAGTTACAATTACAGAAAAGTGTTCTATTGTACATCTTGTAGATTGTATGTTATTGCTAAAATCTTATGACATTACTTCGAGTGGTTGATATGAATCAGTAGCTGTTACTAAATAGAGTCATCAAAGCAAGCAAAGAGTTATCATCAATCGTACAATCCCTTGTAGTTGTAGTAAGCTGTCCATCATCTAGTAGTAGAGAGTCTTTGACTAGTGTAAGAACCCGAAGAGACACAGTAATCTCGTCTTCTTCAGCAGATCAGTAGTATAATATCAGGGCCTTAACACTGCACCGACGTGACGTATTTTAAATATCCATTTTCCGTTTGTCTTCACAATAACTTTAGTTAAGTCTGACCTGAACTTGTCTACTGGCAACTGTTGACAGTGTGTACTGATAGTGCGAATAAGTCAGTACAATAGTAGAGTAGTACCACGTGACATGAGTCTGTGAGCTTTATGACAGGGGAGGAGGACAATTTATAGGCGTCGCACAGGCGTGGGGGTTAGGAAACTCACTCAATATCACTCTGCCTTCCTGCAGTGAAGCGGAAAATGTTACAGTTACGCTCGACCACCCATGCCCATATAAGGAGTTATCTAGTTACAGGTGTTGCCCATGTACGGTATAATAAGTTCTCCCCGGACTAGGTTAATAAGCTGCACAGCTAAATTACCCATCACTCCTTATACGGTATAATCATTGTGCCGGAATGTGTTGAAATACTGCTGTTTTATTTGTTACTGTATGTTGAATTACCCGCTCTTAGTTAGCCTTGATCTAGCAGTACATTAGTTGTACAGCTTACACCGCGTGTGTGTGTTGTGTGTACCTATTACTTCCCAGAGATAGAGCTACCTTGTTTCTGATTGTTCTTGTTTTGTATATTGTATTTTCACATGAGTTGTTGCTCGCCAGACGCCGCCCCACGACTACATCCCTTACCCAGTGCCTCCTTGGTGCCGCCCAGAGCGGCTACTTCAGCTTGTGTGGCTGCCAACCGACCTTCCGACTACTTGGACATGACTGAGAGTACGTAATGTGTTACCTTAGCAACAGTAATGTGTTACCTTAGCAACAGTAATGTGTTACCTTAGCAACAGTAATTTGTTACCTTAGCAACAGTAATGTGTTACCTTAGCAACAGTAATGTGTTACCTTAGCAACAGTAATGTGTTACCTTAGCAACAGTAATGTGTTACCTTAGCAACAGTAATGTGTTACCTTAGCAACAGTAATGTGTTACCCTAGCAACAGTAATTTGTTACCTTAGCAACAGTAATGTGTTACCTTAGCAACAGTAATGTGTTACCTTAGCAACAGTAATGTGTTACCTTAGCAACAGTAATGTGTTACCTTAGCAACAGTAATGTGTTACCCTAGCAACAGTAATGTGTTACCTTAGCAACAGTAATGTGTTACCTAAGGAACAGTGTAATGTGTTACCTAAGGAACAGTGTAATGTGTTACCTAAGGAACAGTGTAATGTGTTACCTAAGGAACAGTGTAATGTGTTACCTAAGGAACAGTATAATGTGTTACCTAAGGAACAGTATAATGTGTTACCTAAGGAACAGTGTACTGTGTTACCTAAGGAACAGTATAATGTGTTACCTAAGGAACAGTGTAATGTGTTACCTAAGGAACAGTGTAATGTGTTACCTAAGGAACAGTATAATGTGTTACCTAAGGAACAGTATAATGTGTTACCTAAGGAACAGTATAATGTGTTACCTAAGGAACAGTGTAATGTGTTACCTAAGGAACAGTGTAATGTGTTACCTAAGGAACAGTGTAATGTGTTACCTAAGGAACAGTGTAATGTGTTACCTAAGGAACAGTGTAATGTGTTACCTAAGGAACAGTGTAATGTGTTACCTAAGGAACAGTGTAATGTGTTACCTAAGGAACAGTGTAATGTGTTACCTAAGGAACAGTGTAATGTGTTACCCTAGCAACAGTGTAATGTGTTACCTAAGGAACAGTGTAATGTGTTACCTAAGGAACAGTGTAATGTGTTACCTAAGGAACAGTGTAATGTGTTACCTAAGGAACAGTGTAATGTGTTACCTAAGGAACAGTGTAATGTGTTACCTAAGGAACAGTGTACTGTGTTACCCTAGCAACAGTGTAATGTGTTACCTAAGGAACAGTGTAATGTGTTACCCTAGCAACAGTGTACTGTGTAGCCGTAGATACCTATGTCCTATAGCACCACTTCTTTTGTCACCGTAGGAACCGTTACGTGGGAACCGTAGCAACGCGTACTGTATAGCTGTAATACTAATACCCATGGCAACGTTTTATGTGTCTGTGACTCTGTATTAACGAGTATTAACCATGGCAACGTGATATTTGACTGTAGTAGCCATGTAAGCGCTTTATGTAACTATAGTAGTTACTATGGTTACTATGGTTATTACGAAACTGTGGTAAGTTTCTCTGCAATATGACTCTAGACTCCTCAGTTTGTGTAAACTGTGTGTACCTCACAGGTATCCGTAGGTGTTGTTTGTACACTTTGTTTGCATATAAATGTCACAATGTAGCTTAGTTGCGTTTCACAGTACACACATACATCAGTGTTGCTATTCTCAATTATTTGGTACTTGGTTCCGTAGTTGAAGTCAGTATTATTCAAAGTGAAAGTGATGTGTATTCATATAATTATGAGGCTGAAATACGGAAGAAATTCGCGTAAGACTGCTTGAAATTTAAATCGTACTTCTTACGTAACATTTTTGGTATTAATGTCAAATGTCAATGCTGGAATCTGATTAGTCGCTTGTCAATGCTGGAATCTGATTGGTCGCTTGTCAATGCTGGAATCTGATTGGTCGCTTGTCAATGCTGGAATCTGATTGGTCGCTTGTCAATGCTGGAATCTGATTGGTCGCTTGTCAATGCTGGAATCTGATTGGTCGCTTGTCAAAACAAGGATTCACCTCCTTACCAGTACCAAAATTCCAAGTTTACTGTTCAAGGTTGTCTTTAAAACAGTGAAGCATAGCTGAAGTTAAAATAATAGTTTGAATAATGACGTCACACCACGTGTTATGACGTCACATCACGTGTTATGACGTCACACCACGTGACTTCACTAACCTTCTCCTCTTCAGACAGACCGCCCGGGGAGGGTGTAGTCGGGATATTCGACAGTGACGAGGAAGATGAAGATTTCTACGATGCAATGGACAACTCTGAAGCGAATAACGGAAACGTGGCGGCTGTGGCAGCCGCTCCCAAAGTGGAACCACCCACAGCAGTGGCACCGCTAGACACTGGAAAGTCTACACTCTCCACCAGAGTTAGTAATTCTCTGTAATTTGGCAGTGTGTGTGTGTGTCTTAATATGACTTGTCCGTGTCGTTACGTTGTTTACTAAGTAGTTTTCAGTACATCCTAGATTAAAAACGTATAAAAACGAGAGGAAGGCGCATTTTTGATGATGTCACAGGTGCCAATTTTATCTAACCACACTGCACCTTGTTAATAATGCCAGTATTGAATGCTCGAAATCACAGCCTGTCATCCGGTTCTCGAGATAGCCATGTGGCTACAAAAGAAATGAACCTTTTATTGCTACTCCATCTTTAATATTCTCAATATTACAGACAACGTCTCGGAAGAGGAGACTGCGGATACCTGACAAACCTAACGATAAAGCAAATCTGTGGAACATTATGAAGAACTGTATTGGGAAGGAGCTATCTAAGATACCCATGCCAGTAAGTATGCCATGAATCGCGTGATATGGCTGTGCGGCTGGTGCGGAGTCGCATTTTTAGCTGTTTTCTGCTCAAATTCGCATTTCACACAAACAGTCGTTTTCTGTTATTTTTCGCACAGTTGGGAGATTTTGGAACTTGTTATTACGTCGTACAATTGGATCATTGTGAATTAACATTTCTTGTCAAATATTCAACACAAATGTATTATGTATCTACCTATTATGCATATGGATTAATCGACTGCTTGCACGCTAATTGAACCAGCCAGCAACGCCACCAACATCTCCTAGTCGTAGTGTTAGAAATGCTTCAAAATGTAATGGCTTTGTGCCCCTGCACCCTTTGTTCCCAAACACAGATTGACATTCCAGTGATTAATACCGGGAATACCAACAGCCATTATCTTGATAATGTTTTAGTTGTTGTTATTCTTTAATTGTGTTTAGTTAAACTACGTTTAACTAAAAAACCTCATTTACTTGCCGCTGTTTTCTAGATAATAAATTACGATTTGTTCACCTGTTCAGGGAGACTATCAAGATCTATTGCAGAGTTGAATAACGTGGACTATGATAAGTTGTGTTGACTAGAATATGACCTAAGATAACAGTTCGAATTACACTTATAGGCCGTATCAATTGATGAATCATCCTGAGCAGCCTGACAAAACAGATTATTTTCCTGCACATTTTTCAAATAATCGCTGTGCTTGAAGTTGAGCCGCACAATTCGCAAACTTTTGACGCACTCCTACCAACTTTTTACTTTGAGCGATCCTCTATCTAATAATGGCACTCATATGTTGCCTCAGTAATATGATTTGACGTTGAACGCATGTCTTAGATTTAATTGTCACGTGAATTGGGCAAGTCGCCTGATAAACATCTTCTTTTTCTTTCTGATATCGGGTTCAAATTTCAGACGTAAGTAATGTTATTGTCAACTCCCAGTTATTGAACTGCGTGCTCAGTTTGTTTTGAATTGTCACTTTCTCTCGAGATGTTCGCTATATCATCTTTATTTGGAGACACTGTAGATGATTACTGTGGCTCAATTCTAGACAAGTTTGACGATGTATGTAGTTGCTTAGAGTATTTATTTGTTAATGAACTCGAAAACTTAATTTAAGGGAGATGGCGCGCGAAGTTGATTGGTTGCCAAGTCATCTCATAAGTTCAATCAAGTCCATCAAGGAGTGGAGTAGTTTCCTATTTTGCGGTCCAAGTAGAGTCTTTCTAAACTGAAATTTATTAATATGATCGCCGTTTGCATAGTAACTATAACCAACTCTACCTCAGGTTAATTTCAACGAGCCGATATCATTTCTACAACGTTTAACTGAAGATATGGAATATGGAGACTTACTCACCAGAGCAGCAGAATGTGCCACCGTTGAAGAATCGTTAACATATCTTTCTGCGATTGCTGTGTCTTCGTACGCCACTACAAGCTGCCGAACCAGCAAACCTTTTAACCCTCTATTGGGAGAAACTTTTGAGTACGATCGAACAGATGATATGGGGTGGAGGAGCTTTGCAGAACAAGTAAAAATGAAAAAGCTTGTTAGATCTACTAACTAACTGCCTATGAACGTCAATTTAAATTATAGATGTTCTTCTATTTCTGCTTCGGTACCAAGTCCAAAAACTCAATCCTATATTGAGACATTTTTTATCAAAACGTATTTTACTTTTCCTCTATAAAAAGTACGTTAACTTAATGTTAAGTACTGTCTATAAAGCTATAGGTAATAAGTATCTGTGTTTACAAGTATTCTCTGTTCAGGTATCACATCACCCGCCAGTATCAGCATTGCATGTGGAACATGATAACTGGATCTACTACCAGGATTTCTCAATGACTTCCAAGTTTAGAGGCAAATATCTGCAAGTCTTCCCTATTGGTACTACTCACTTTATTGTGAAATCTACAGGTCATCATTACACCTGGAATAAGGTACGCATATTTAGTATTTTCTATTGAGTTTTCTGTTGTTGAATGTTGAGTAATAGTGGAAGAACAAAATGTAAGGCTAAATGTTTTTCTCTCATCTATCTGCAAGCAAAATTATCAACAATTAACAATCAGGTTTGTACGACAGTTCACAACATCATCGTGGGAAAACTGTGGGTAGATCAGAGCGGAGAGATACTAGTTAAAGAACACAAAACTGGAGCCAGCGCGCGCGTCAAGTTCCACCCCTACTCCTACTTCTCGCGGGAGACGCCGCGTCGTGTGACCGGTAGTGTTCTTTCCCCGGACGGTTCACCAAAGTTCGAATTACAAGGAACCTGGGATAGCTCTATGTCATGTGCTGAGGTTTTATCGAGTGAAGGAGATAATTGGGATACTGCGGAGCATCAGACTCGGTGGGTGAAAAACACCCCACTTGAAGACTCAGACAAAATCTACAACTTCACTGCTATGGCTGTTACACTGAACGAGCCTGACGAGGAAGTTGCACCCACGGATGCGCGTAGAAGACCTGACCAAAGACTGATGGAAGAGCAGAAGTTCCCCGCAGCTAACAACATGAAGCTGACGTTAGAGGAGGCTCAGCGCACAAGACGCAGAGCTCGGGAAGCTAAGATAGCTGCAGAGGGACCCTCAGGTTAGACTTTCTTTCACTCCGACCAGCTTTTTATATGGTTTTCATAAACTTTGATCGCTGAATCTAATGTATTTTTATCATTAATTAGGCATTTTATGATTGTACCATTAAAATTATCAGACTAGTAAACCCTTCTACCTTTCAGCAAAATATGTGCCGAAATGGTTCGCAAAACGAGAATGCGAGATAACAGGAGAGGAGATTTGGAGGTTTACTGATGAGTACTGGCAGTGCAAACAATCTCAGACTTGGGATAGGTGTCCTTCACTTTACATGGATGACGAGCAGGAGGAGGACGCCACGTGATAACGCGTGACAATGCGCGGCTCACTTCGCATCACGTGACAATGAGCCGCTATCCTCACATCACGTGTCACTGTACATATCGCATCACGTGACACTGCGCTGCTCACATTACAGCACGTGCAAATTGTTTATCATCTCACTAGGCTTGTGATTCGTCCTCACTCTTATGTGACACAAAAAACAGATTTTTACAAGAAATTTGTTAGATTAGATGGCAGATGATATTGACTATGGGTGCGTTCTAAGTTGAGTATAACTATAAACTGAGTATATAATGAGATAATATTAATGTTGTTTCGGAAAGATCAGTTTTTAATCATCTTCTACATCGTTTAATAATAAATTTGAGATTGTTTTGATGGGTGAGTTTGTTGAATAATTTATCGTAAATATAATTTTCTCTGAACTGCTAATCTCCCAATTATATATGAAGAAAAGAAAAATAAATGAATTTGTGATTTGGGGAGAGTGAAGTTGTTTTGATAATGATCAATTGTACAATTGAATTTGAGTCTATTTTTATCGTGGTCTAATCTCAGTATTATCTATTGTTTTTATGACAATAACTCTTAAAAAACACAAAGAAATAGTACACGTCAAAATAATACACGTCAAAAAACATTAAAAATTCCAATATTCAATAGCTTTAGTTTCTATGGAAACAGTCTGGTGTGTTCTTTCTCTTAAAATTTTCTCTTAGGTATATTGTTACCAGACCCTCGAACTAGAACTACAGATCGTCGTTGTTGATGTATCTGTAAAATTGCACGTGTTATTTAAAATCTGTAACTTTCTTGAAACCATGAACTGTCAGCGGATAGGTTTTCACCATTCTAAATCTAAATCGCAGATATCACAATTCAATGGATTTCCGATTTTTTGTACATTTTTTATGACCAATAATGTACATGGCCATCAGATTTTTACCAAATGTACGCTAAATTAGTGTACAAAAATGTAGTTGGACCCCCCCCCCCCCCCAATGACTCACACATTGCCCTCCTCGTCATCCTTTGTCCCTGTTCCACTGGCACTAGCCGCAGTTGCCACTACACTTGTTTCCTGCTTCTTCATCAATGTTCCCTGTCTCGCTGTACTTGTTGTTACATCTCGTTCCGCAAAAACTGAGTAGTCTGAAACAAGAAACTGAAAACGCAACAGCAAACAAATGTTCACGGATCAGCAACGCATGTCTGGTTTCGACGGTTTATTCATTCCCGGCTTAATACCGGGATACAATCGATTTTCGCCCCACGCTGTGGGCCCACGACCATATCGTGAGGATCGTGACATGAGACAAGTCGATCTCTGACAGGGACAAAAGGATTTCGTGATTATTTTGGCCAAAAATCGCGGTACCGCGAAATTTAACAGGCTATACATTAAACTATACATAAAATTTGTCGCGGAGAATGGGAAATTTCGCGATTTCGTACATGCCGCGAAATCCTTTTGTCCCTGATCTCTGATCAATTAGATTGTAGATAAATATCATCTCTGTAGCAGTGGTCGGGAGAAGGAGAAAGAATGTCAATTTCTAGTTGAGTTCTACTACTACTACTAGCTAGTATTCTGGTGGGGGGGGGGGGCCAATGGCATAAATGGAGAAAATGGAGAATTACTCATAGGTTTTTCCATTTTCTCCATAGAAATAGTCTCCATTTTATGCCATTTTATGCCATTGAAAACCTGAAAAATTTAGAATTTCGAGAAAAATTATTTAAAAAAAAAGATATTTTCGGCCAATAATGAACATGGTATCATGAAACGTGGAGAAAAGCGGTTTTCAGAAAAAAATTTGAAAAATTTTAACTTTGAAAATTACCCCTCGGTACACAATTTTGGACTCGAGGCTTCCCCCTGGTAATGCGATCTCGGAAGGCAGGCCTCCCCTTTGCGACACGAGCTCGGAATCGGGGGCATTACCAGGGGGAAGCCTCGAGTCCAAATTTGTGTATCGAGGGGTAGGTGCAGACTTCGATAAACCGAAAAACCAAAAAAATATTTTCGGCAAATAATGAACAGGGTAGCATGAAACGTGGAGAAAAGCGGTTTTCAGAAAAAATTTGAAAAATTTTAACTTTGAAAATTACCCCTCGGTACACAATTTTGGACTCGAGGCTTCCCCCTGGTAATGCGATCTCGGAAGGCAGGCCTCCCCTTTGCAGTGCGAGCTTGTTTCGACTTTCGAGGATGTAGGTCTCACTTCTCAGTGCCTATTACTCTCCCCTATTACTGACTCCTGCTGTAGCCTGTAGAAATAACGTTACACTAGGGTTGAGTATTTATGATTTTGCCTGAAGTGTGCTAACCTAGTATAAGCATCTAGTAGCCTACTATGAGCTTTCATAAGCTTGTTACGCCCCTAGTAAGCGTAAATAAACATGTTAGGATGTCCAATTTAGGTGTTAAATGGTGTTTAAGATGAAATTCCGAAGACAAAATTCATGGCATAAAATGGAGAAAAGGGAGAATTACTCATGGGTTTTTCCATTTTCTCCATAGAAAAAGTCTCCATTTTATGCCATTTTATGCCATTTTATGCCATTGGCCCCCCCCCCCCCCCCCCCCCCCATTCTGGTAAGATCACAACAATAGAAATGACTTCATTCTTCAAATAATTATAGTTATACAGAAAATCTCCTGGCCCTGCGAAGGTAATGGTATGTATAATATGCAGCACATGCTGTCCTCGGAGTAGGAAGCAATGAAAAAAGACCGAAGCTATTGCAAAAAGCATAGCGGTAAAGTTAAGCGGTAGGTTTGGTGCAAACAATTCCAAGGATTGGCCTAATTTCTACTGGTCATTTTAGACCCCTTCATAAGCACATAAACTGTAAACCACACTTTGCACAAATGTGTTCTAGTAGTAATAGTACTACAGTAGTAGACTAGAGGCACAGTGCTTTCAAGAAAAGATGAGTTGATAGAGTAGGCTGATGGTTGAAATGCTTTAGAATTAGAGATGTTACCAAACAAACGAGTATTCTTTGGTGCAGGCCTTGTCTTTCGAAAAATAAAGATATGAGAGACGAGAGTGGCCTACGAGTAGGCATAAGACGATATCAAACATATTGAACACTTGCCTGTGGATTGAGTGGGAGGAGCTATGACGACACACTCCTTTTGCTCGTCAAACCACGTCATTCCTACTATAAATTGTTAGAGCGTAATCATATTTATAAAATAGTAGCTGCTTCAATAAGGTCCGGTAAGGTAACTGAAAGGGATTGAATCCAATATCCATGAGTCGGTAAATTGTGATGCCAGGTAAATATTCAAATGTAGTTAGGCACCGTATAACTTTATCGAACTCGAGAATATTTTGTTTTGAGATTACCGTCACGGTCATGGTATGGATAAAGTCTCACAGTATAATGTTAAAATTGAACAATGAAACACTTACGTTCTATTTCACAAAACTAGAAAAAGACAGCTAGTATCAATATCTGCTTATAGCTTCAAAACGAGGCCCAAAAACTTAAATACATACTGTCTTGAAATGAGCTAAATTTACAATACACAAACATATGAATTCAAACATTGAAACGGATATGAATTGTCACGAACATCAGTGGAACATGTAATTCTAGATGAGTAGATTCACCGAGTACATGCCAAAATGTTCTATGTTTGTGATAAGGTAATCATATTTGCGCTTCAAGGCGGCCTGACATTTTTGTGTGTATAATTACACAAATGAACTGTAACTCCTGATCCATAATTACTACAGAAGCAGAGGGACTGAAGCAAGTGTGAACTGTGAAAAGGAAGTTTAAATGTGGCGATCGAAATGTTGAATTGATGGAGCAAGGCTTCAGAGAGGCTACAGAGAGGTTTAAGAATACAAAGAGGCTTCAGAGAGGCAGAGGCAGAGGCAGAGGCAGAGGCAGAGGCAGAGGCAGAGGCAGAGGCAGAGGCAGAGGCAGAGGCAGAGGCAGATGCAGATGCAGAGGCAGAGGCAGAGGCAGAGGCAGAGGCAGAGGCAGAGGCATTTACTTTGAACAATCTGTATGTAAATTGTAGAAATAATATTCATTATTTGAATTTATTTGTTAACCACTATAACTAAAAGAATAATGGTTCTTACTCATTATTAATCTTGAAATTATTAAAACTAAGTTATAACTAAAAAATACTTGAACGACATAATTGAAAACAAAAAAATTGCCATGTAGAAAGTTCCCCATAACTAATTCCTCAAATCACAGCTATAATGGTCCATCTAATCGTGCATCATTGATATGATCGCAATTCGTATAGGTACATCTAGTCCTCCCTGATTTCTGAACCAAGCTGACCTACGACTAAATCTGAAGATACATTATTTTGGTTGCGAACATTCAATCATTTATAGATATCTCCACCAATATCTTAATATTTCATCCCCCGACTTCACTTCCCCTTCTTTTTCTTCTTGCCGCCTCCCTTTTTGCCTCCTTTGCACAATGTACCGGAGTATGGGAACCCCCTTATGCTAAGAAACTGTTCAGCGGAATGACAGACCAACAGGGCGTTCTCCATCGCCACCTTACTAAAGGGGTCAACAACTGGAGCTCTGGTTGGGGTCTTGGCTGAGCGTCTCTTCTTCTTTCCGCTGCCCTTTTTGCTTTTTCCTGACCCAGCTTTATGACTGTTAGTACCTGGAGTAGAAGATTAAGAGTAATGTAAGGGAGTTGACTATAATTGCGTGCAGTAATATATAGGTAGTAGGTACAGCTGTTGCAGATTTTGGGCGAATTCTACAAGGCTGAAGCACTGATGTGATTGTGATAGTAATGAAGTTATTGTGGTGAACTGGATCCTACTAGTATTACTGTTATTCAAATCCTAGTATCATATTATATATACTATGCTACTATTTGTAGACTGTAGAGGCTGTGATGTTGAATAAAACAAGCTTCTGCTATAAATAATATTCAATTCAAGTTGGCTATCTAAGTTGACCAGTATATCAAATTATCCAGTGCTAAGTTGAAGCTAAGGAGCAGTGAATTGAGGCAGATGTGAGCTGACTAATGATGTTAGGAAAGATGTACTTAAGACGAACAGTATATAATAATGTATATAACCTAGACTACAGGTGCAAACAATAGGTGCTAAAATAATCTGTGTGTGGAGAATTGAAAAGTCACATTGACATACATACGATATAAAATTATGCAATATACAACACCATAACAGTTAACCTTTGTGTTGTTAAACACGGTACAAACTTGAAGCCAATTCTTGCTGGTGTCCTGATACTCTGATAGTATTAGTTTTAGTAAGGTTTTGTTCTTCAGACATTTACTTACTTTTTGCTCGTGTCTTTGAAGGGCTTTTGCTTGAGCTTTTGATGGTTTTATTGGGAGATTTGCCTCGACCTTTCTTAACCGGCTGAATACACAACATATCAATCATTATTTCAAATAAATGTTAAGTTTTAACTTTTATTTTTCATGAACGCAAACATAAAGTTTCTGGAATAAAGTTACTGGAATGAGGTCCTGACATATTTTACGTAGTTGTAAGTTGGCCGATTACCACCTTTCTTACCATGGAAGTGTTTGGAGTCTATCTGAACTATAAAGTTGCTCCAGCCTAGCATACAAGTATGTGTCTTCTCCTTTTTCTAAAAGTTTTAAGGTTGTCAGACTTAAGTAAAAATATCAGAGATAAAAAATGTGTCTAGAGTTGAAATAGAAATAGGGTTGTAGGTACATTTACAACTTTCCAATCTTCGACTTTAAATGTCACGAAGATTTTAACCAGGAGTATAAAGAGGGTTGAAATGTCGAGAAATGAAATTCCGTACTGGCATCAAGAAGCCTGAGTTCGATAAGATAACAATCAAGATAAAGAGCTAGTTTGCTGGGGCATGCTCGCAACTAAAATCGGACGAGAAATGAGCCTGTTAATAGTTAATACCCCTCTCGGTTGCCTGGTGACGCTTATTAAGGATAATGTGTTTGCTTAGCAAAGTTGTGACAAATTGTGTTTGGTAACCATTCGTAAATGTATTTATGACATGGGATATGTTGTTTAGAGAGATTATATTAGAAGTCACAGAAAGATGATCATGTCCCACGAGAATGAGTGTTTTGTGATCAATATTTTAAAAATCCATCAGTGCAGTGCCACCCAGCCACCAACCGATTCCTTCCTCTTGTGAACTGATCGACTTAAAACATCAGAAATACTTTCCACAAATCGACAAACTATTGAAAAAAACGACAATCGTGTATCACAATATATCAGAGCAGCTAATTTACTGAAGCTGTTGCCAGGGCAACCAACATTGAACATGCACCCAGAACTGACAAGACTTTATTGTGTAATTCAAACCGTAGGTAATGTGATAACATAATTCGAGATGTTGCTAGGGAGCCTTAGGTTGTTGCTAGAGAGCAAGTCCTGCGTCCATGACGAGACCAACTCGGATATAGCATTCAGTGACCAGGGTCGGGTGACAATTGTATGGACAGCATTATTCAATTAATAGCGTTTAGGTATCTAACCGACATGCTATACGCTGGCTAATGGTACTGATAAATGATATGGATCAATGATCTGGATAAAAGATGATGTCAAATCTCACATCCTGAAGGGTGAAGATAGAATGCTTACAAGTTTCTTGAGTTAAATTGCTATAGGTAAACCTATTATAGCTTGACAACACCAAATTGAAAGTATCTCAGTCGTTTATTATCGAATAAACGCTTTACTCAGCTGAAAGCCGATGTTTTGGCTACAAGAACTTTATATCAGTTACTTTACAGAGTCATACCAGAAACAACTTCTCTAGAGACTAAAAACAGCATGCACGACGAGATAAGCGAAATTCAGTGAACAAAGAGTCAAAAACACATACGACAATTATTAATGAAAACAAGAAACTCACCAGTGTGCAAGGCAAGCAATTTCATCCCAGACCGGAGATAATATCTGTCAGATGTTATACTCCATGACTGCTATCATAACTCCCATATTATCAACAATAATATCTCTGCAACGTATTATAACGATGACAATGCCAAACAATCACAGTATAATGGCGGACGTGATCCGCTATAAGCTGTTGTACACAAATAGGAAGTTTAGAGCTGGCTTACTAGTGTTGTGTGCAGGGGGGTCCTTGTGTGATGCTAGTGCCAACCTTCTTCAGGTACTTCCAAATAGATTGATTTATCTCCATCTGCTATGTTGATTAATCGTGTAGTGGAATGTCAGCTGGGGTATCTATATTGATCTTCATCGTTATGAGCTACCATCATTTGAACCATATCTAGGATATGGTGTTAATCAACTTGTTTAATGTTCATGCATTCCTCAATATCTTTCCCCGATGGTTTTTGGTTGTGAGCGATTAGCCCATAAATAGTCGATACATGTCACAAAGATTTTAAAAGCTCGGCTTTTTATATAGTTATATCACCAAGCATATCATCCAGGCATTCTTTTGTTTGAATATTTTGTTGAACCAGAATATAAATATCAAATATTTTTATAGGTATGTATGTACATAATAATTGTCACAAACAGGATAATAAAAGAGCTGGAGGATTGATTTGGCGTCAAGCTCAGGTCGTCCTCCAATCCCATGATAACAGTGACCTAAGGCACTTGTCACCACTTCAAGCCTTCAATGATTTAAATAAAATGTATCATTAAGAAAGATCAATAAATGTACTTGCAATATAATTTTTTGACTTTTATATGGCTATCGTTTGATTTTTCCGTAAAAATATTTGATATTTTCATCAATTGATTGTTCATTTTAGTTTTACATGGTTTGAATTATTTACGTTACGGTGTACAAAATCGTGAACTCATGTTGTGTATTTTGCAGTATCCTGCCCCGGCCACAGCTTCCACAAACCATTCCTAAATCGTTTATTTAATCATCAGAACCGTCCTATTTCAACCAGTTAAATCTCTCAGTTAATTGTTAGAAACGCCACATCAGAGGGTATCAGATTTAATAGCTGGTTATTACTTTAAAAACTTCCATTTTCCCGTCCATTGTTCTCATTCCTTTCTTTCCATATTAAATAAGACTTTAGAGCAGCGTCCCCATTAAAGCTGTTTTGTCTGCACCGTCTGGGCTGCAGGTGTCAAACAAAGAAACAGAGACACGTGACAGTGCGATAGTAACCAATACCAACCAATCAGCACCACGTGCTGCGTAGCAACAGCCAATCAGTTTCCCGCATTGCTCCAGCATTGCAGCACCACCACTCCACCATGATAGTCAGCACGTGCTAAGGCTTTCAGCCAATAAAACTAATTCTGTGTGATCAGTTGACCAATAAGGAGCAAGCTAAATAAAGGCTCGGACGAGATAGTCCCTAGTAGGTTGTGAACATATGGTCACTGTGCAGCTCGCACCATGACTACAAGTATTCCTCCGCGTTTAATTCATACATCAGCCGCGAATTACGAAATAGTTAATTCAACCTGAAAGTTTACTGAGTTTTCTCCCTTTTTGGAATCGGGCCACAACTTATTTGTACTGTTGTTTTCCTTGGCGTTTTGCATTGCAGATAATGAATTTGAATAGCAGTCAGTTAAAATATCAGTCATCAATTTAGTTAAAATTGTAGTTAAAATTTCGACAACAAAGATAATGAAATTCTGTTAGCCTGCCATAATATGTAGCTCCAAGACTCCTCTCTCCCAATCCCACACCACCATCTGTTCCTTTAAATCCAATAATCCGATTGGATAAGCGAGGAAAATTGAGCTCTCTGATTGGCTAAATCCGATCATGTGACGTAGACAGGTGAGGAAGGTGTGATATTGGTTGTGACTTGTGTTGAAAGCTGCGCAGCATAGATCCGTTAGAACTGGAGTCAACATTGAACTGTGCTGTATCTGGCACTTGCTAGGCAGCTATTAGCTGCTTCATGTCTGTTTCATGTCTGTTTCATGGTTCATATTTCACTTGTTTCATCTCTCTTATATCGCACTTTTATAATTTATCACACTTTTATAATTTTCGCCTGACGAATTTGTTCATTTATCGAATCTCAACTTTTGCTCATGCTCATTTTTGCTCATGCTCAGCCCTCACGACCCACACCTGTCTTTGTTCTTCAGCTCCTACCACTCAGTAACGATAAAGAACAATAATAAAAACAAAAGCTCTTTGTTTGCTAAATAATAATGATACATTTCCTTACAAAGGGAAGTACACGGTGCCATGCTATGAGGTTCTCTTCTGACGTCACCATGGTCCTCAATATTTAACAGATATCTCGTTATACTTACTGCACGTTACTTCGTACCTCTTTTTCAGCCTATCGGTTTTTGTTTGAAGATATTTCTCGCTTCTTGGCTTTCGTCCATAATCCATTAACATGAACTTTTAACCGAAATTAACTGAGTGTCATTCTAGCTGTTAAACACAACAGCTCTAAGTTTGTCGTTGTTTGTTAGAAAACATAGTTTTCTAATTCGGCTTCGGTTCCTGGTAGTTAATGGCATGTTGTTAACTTGTAAAGGCTTCAATGTCGAGGTTTTACTGAAGCCTACAACTTGACAGGAATCCATGATCGGTCCTGTATATGTCATCTCAAATATCGCATCGGGGATTCCGCTTTTCTTGAATAAAGTCCAATCGTTTTCCCTTCTAAGGCATACATTTTAGAATCTTCAACTATTTTGTTACTTAATTTGTTTTATCAGTGAATTAGTCGATATATGTACCCAATTTTCTTAATCTAACCCGCTATCAATATCCTGACAGGTTTACTGCTATATCAGTATGGTTTTACAAGGCTGTGTCCGCATATTTCTCTTCCTGATCAACACGCTGACGGTCATATTTGGTTTCGCTATCACCGCTATTGGTATTTACTGCGTCTCCAAATCCAAGACAGAACCTTTCAATGACATGGAGACAGGCAGTCTGGTCGGATTCATAGTCTTCACCCTATTTATCGGAATCTTTGTCCTGACTCTGGGACTACTGGGACTGTTTGGCTCCATCACCCAGTCTCCCAGCATGATGATTGTGTACGGAGGTCTGATAGTGGTGGTCCTGATCCTGGAGTTGGCACTGCTGGTGGGGAGTCTGTGCAGTAAGAATAAGATTGTGGAGACAGCTCGGGAAGGGTTCCGGGACTATGTGACCAGGTACTACGAGGACGGGATAGATGACAACGTGAAGCAGGCTGTGGATGCGATACAGTTTAATTTGAAGTGCTGTGGGTACGGGGGACAGGATGATTTTAGACCTGATCACCCGCCCCCCGCATCCTGCTGTAGTGATGATACTGTCACAAGTTTCGATGAGTGCCCCACGGACGATAGGTTTGATGAAGGTTGCAAAATGAAATTCCCCAAATTCATTGGCGATGTTTTGAATTTGTTTGCTGTTGTGATCGGGTTTGCAGTTATTTTGGATGTCATCAGTATGATGGGAGCGTGTTATGTTAGGCAGAATTCTCCCAAATATAACCACATCGCTTAGAGATGGACAATTGTGACGCATAAACACGCTGATTGTGATTTGTGGGTGTTTGATAATTAGAAGTTCTAGGATCATTATTGTTGATCGATATTTGATTCAAGTTAAATGATGTGTATTAGATTTTATTCAAAATAGGTGATCGTGACAATCATATGCCATATTTGAGTATCTGTTTAGTATTCAATGAATTGAATTTGAATGTCCCTTAATGACAGGAGATTTATGACTTTATGATTACTATAAATGACGTAAAACTGACGTACTAGATTTTAATAATAGGGCAGCTTCGATGATGGAACCGCAAATATTTACCGTGCGAATAGCTGACGTAAAGATCGTGTCTACATAGTAGATCATAGTTTCACTTTTGGTCTTGGATTGGCTGTTTATAAAATATGAACATCACCGTTTCTTATTATGTGGAAGTTGAAATAAAATATTTTACTAACGTTACAGTATATAATACAATATTTGATTCGATTATATTAAACTTTGATAAACTTAAGAGTCGATTTATCAGTAATTTCGTATTGTTTGGGTGATGACTGTGTGAGTTAAAAGGAACATGTTTAATAATTATGATGAATAAATGGGATGATAGCCAGGTCTCGGAGTTACAGGTATCCACTGGCTTACACCTAAATCGTAATTCTAGACCAGTCCACTTGACAACTTTCTCTCTTTGTACAGATCTAGTAACCACGGGTTCCAACAGATCCACAGCATCATATTCGCGTAGGTTACTGACGTCTAATTAGCCTAATGTTTGTGAGCCTATATTCTGAGGTAAAGTAAAATTGTATGATTATAAAGTGACAACAACAACTCCGGGCATTTGCAATGATCCGACTGCTGACGTTTCTTATTTGTCAGGTCAGAATTTTGTTGGGATTTTTTCTTGTCAGAACAAACATCTTTGCAGATTGGACCTATTAATAACCTATTGTGAGTTACAGTTATTTGCTGTCGGCCGGTAAATATGATGACGCACGTATGAAATAAACATTGTTTAAGAGAATGTTTAATATGATTTTAATTATTTTAAACTCTCCGGACGTCACTGGACCATAAGTGTTGATCTCTAAACGAGCACAATTCGATGATCTATCCTTTTCTGTTGAACTCCTTTACGTTAAATTTGTCGTCTATTAATAAATATAATTTTCGTTATATAAATAATATGAGCAATACGACTTGAATGTCACTTAAATTAATACATTTATATTTATTTCTTGTTGCGTTATTAAACGAAGTCTGAACAGTTCCCGTTTTGTTTAAAATTATCATTGATCTAAGTTTTTTAAACGTTTATGAGGCATAATTGACGTACATTTTGGACGTAGAATGTGGCACAATGAAAGGGTATATTAGGTTTTAAAGATCATTTATTATACAGCTATATGAGCTATGATAGCTCCATATTTAAAAAATTAGTTTATCAATTTAGTAGGGACACTTTAGTGAACAGTTTAGCGGATAGTTGCTGATTGTAGTCTGTAGGATATAAATAAGCTTTATATTAAATATTCCTCGGTCATGCACAGAAAATGCTGGATTATTGAGCGGATCATTAGAATTGCTTGCTGCTAACTGTTAAGCTTTTAAGATGTAGAGAAGAGAAGAGAACGTATACTTGAAGTAACGTACAGGGCCCTGCTCTGATACTGCTCAGCTCACTTATAGCGCTTATATTTTATAATCGCTAGTTTCTTTTATTGGCGGTTTTATTTGACTTAACTTTTGTTGTTTCCATGATTTAACACAGCTTATATGCATAAGATTTTATTCGTTGATTGTGGCAATAAAACGTATAATAATGCTTGTTTATTAATAATTGTGTTTGATTACTATGATAGTGTCATAGCTTTAATCCATGTTTATTTGAAAATGAAATTACTAATTCTTAAATCATGATTTTTATTGTTTAAACAGTTTACTATTTTCGTCAATACAAGTTGTTGTCCATCGAATGAAGCAACTCACAAGTCATCAACTTTGCTAAATTTATAAGTTGCTGCAAGTTAATTGTTGTGACATGTGACCATGTAAAAGTTTGATATGGATAGTGGCACGTGGCACATTTATAAAGTGCTTACTGTTGATTAAATTACTTCACCACGTGTCAAACTTGTGTCACCTCCCGGAGACTAGGGTTCTATCAATGGAGCAACACAGTGGATCAACTTATTAATTATTAAATATTAAACTACTCCAACTCTCAAATATAATAAACATGCGGTATTTAGTTTAACTTCATAACTACAGGTAAAAGTATACAATAAAATTTAGTTTACCCTAAAACTAAAAGGTCTACTCTGCACATAAAATCTAAGATCCAGAATCCTGATGATATTCGAGAATAGTAGAATGACAGACCTAATTTATTCATAATAGGATAAAAATGACCTGGTAATTACCAGTACCACACAGAAACGTTCGCGCTAATTTATGAGGCTTCTCGCCTGAGAACGTTAGGCTTTGTTGTTACTAACTAGGTTATTACACAAGATCCGGCAGAGGAAGAGAAGGTGTCTCCCGTCACTAATTCTCACCACTTACAGTCACAATATGGTAGCTTTAAGTTTTATTTATTGAACAACGGGCCATGGTCGTAAACAGAGTTTGTACATTTATTTTGGCACGTAAAACGCTCACGATTAAAACTGCATGGTCGATTATAGTATATAGTTATACTCCAACTCACGAACTGCCGTTTGTTATGATTAAACTTTATAGTTCCAAAAAGTACTGTAAAATGTACAATGTTATTGTTAATTAATAATTATAATATTTCGTGTTGAAAGTTAGCTCTGACCCGATTGTTTTAAAAGAATCCGATCGACCTGTACAAACCTCTTGGGTCCTCTTTCATTTGAAAAATGTTAATTTAAAACTTTTAATAAAACAACTCACGTGCACGTTAAGTTATGGAGGGCAGTGTCGTCAAACAATTGTTTATCAGAAAAGCAAAAGTCATTCGATACTTGTTACATTTTCTATATGCTCTAGCCTCACTGTTTTTACAAAGCCGTTATAATGTTATGTCATATGAGTAATGACTAGTTTTAGTTACATTCTGTTTCCATAGGACTTGTGTGTTCTTTTCCTTGATTATGACCTTTCTAAACTTTATTTCCCATTTTATTTAATTTTAAATCGGCATTTGAATCTCGTAAATTTCAATTTGACGACATTTAATCCATAACTGACATTACATTTCCTTCCCACAATATTTCATATCCCTAAAATTTTATCTGACCATCATAATCTCAACAATTCAACATTCCTATCTGAACTGAAAATCTAACTCTGAGATTATTTGATTATTTCTCTCCTCACCCTTTCCAATTCCACGTGTCATAAGATTCACATTGAGTGATAATAACTCGTTTGTTTCCCTAAATAGCGTCTCAGCTTATAGCTTCTCGGTTCACGCTGATACTAAATTTCATTCCGACCGAGGTGATGATATTTCTAACTGACTGGCGGCCAGCTCAGATATCGGGTCTGATTCCAAATTAACTTGGAGATATCCGATTTCAGGACACGTGTAAATTTCAACAATGATGACAGGTATCCAAAATAACAAGGATAACTGGACGATCGGTATTTTGATCCTGTGCTCAAAAATATTTGTGAAATTGGATCATGTTTTCTTCATCAGTTAACGATGTGGTTTTATTATAAATGCAGTTTCTTGCAACTGATTTGATATCAATAACTGTAAATGTTTATCGTTCTCTGACATTATTTACTCTTTGACGCATTCGCAGCAGATTCATGGAGTAGTTCCAATCCTTTTTATTGTTTCTGAATGCTTCAGACCCCGGTTTAAATTCTAATCTCTCAGCTGTTGCCTGATGCTGTTGTCTAAACTATTACTGCTGCTCTTAATTATGCCCACTTTTACGTCATCATGGTAAATCTCAGCTGGTAAGGATAATCCTTACCAGCTGAGTAATAATATGAGTATCCTCATTCTTCAGTCGACCGACCCTGCCCCCTCCCAAGACTTCAGCCACCGCACATGTTCTAACTCTATCTCTCCATCAATAGGTGGTGCTTGCCAAAGAGACTGCGTGCTTGCTGACTTGACCGGCATTGCTTATCAACAACATACATTACACAGGGACTATTATATATACGTTTCTCGGATAACTTCTCGCTCTTTCTCGCTCATAAAGAGCCTTTCTTTTCTGCAGCTATTGTACTTACTTACTTATAAAGGAGTTAAAATATTTCTTAAGTCCGGGGCTAACGATCTTGAGGTGGGCCGGCCCCTTGACAAGTATGAAACTGCCCCCAACGCCCTTAACGCACGTGACATGTGCATAACGAGTACTATAAAGTGCATGCTGAGAGGTGGAAAACATTGTATGTCTTTTAAAAGATCGTGTGATGCTTGTCATATAACATGGGAAACGGTTGGTTCTGTTCTGTATCGAGATATGTTGTGAGCTGAATGTTCTTTTGCAAAGTACCGGTTCAGTAATCAGTTAAACTGTTTGTAATTGTAGTACGCTGGAAACTGTAGCTTGTTTTGCTTTCCAAACTTCTAGTGCTGCAGTGGTAGTGGAGAAGTATGAGCAGTAATACAATGGTATATTGTTAGTGTTACAAAGGTTCTTAGATCACCTCCGACTTCATGATAATTATCATTGAGTCATATTTGCTGTGCGTTTTAACTCATCTGTTCATCTCTAATATGCTATCAATTTACAGTTCATAATTCAAAATCTTAGAGATCAGAAAGGGAGCTGGGGAGCACCTGTTAATGTTATTATTTTCTTTATTAGTCCACTCTTTTTCTCCAGTATCTCCAGTGCTCTTATTCTTAGTGGTTAGTAAGAATCTTCTGTAACTCAGTAAGCATAAGTCATGATTCTTCTCGCGTTCTAAGGTGGCGTTTCTCTTGTTTCTAATATCCAGGGTGTTCATGAAATTTTGGTACGGTAGGTTAATTTATGAAGGAGCAATTAATTTGCGCTCATCTTCTTTAGATTTGCATATCGGCTTCGATTTGTTTTTGGAATTTCATAGTTAAATAACGCGGGTCATTACTATACTATTGCCATTGTTTCTATTCAAATTCAACTACTGAATGTGTTATTTATTGACATGGACAATGTCCATGTCAATAAATTTAAATAACACGAGCAAAATAGCAATTAACCAAGCTTTTGCTAATATTCAAGCTTTTGTAGCTTAATCATAATTAACAAATTATTGATGATTCATTTGTCAGCTTGGGATGAATAAATTTGATTGTTGAAACCACGCAACAATCAACAATGTTCATTTCATCGGACTGTCAGTTGTTACTAATAAGCCCTACAAGTTATACTTATAGGGCTTAATAATAACAACTAACAGTAACAGGTTGCATGTCCATCGGATCGTACATCTGCATGGAGTTCTTACATGTTTTCTTGTGAAAATCGTATGCTAAAGGATCTAGAATACTAAATTTTATAATGTCAAATATGTTGTCAAATTCTTTATTCAAAAATTCAAGATCAGCCTATTAAAAGTTAACGAAAACGCCTTCTTATCATCGTTTTTAGTTACCTACCGCACGGAAGAACAGGTTAAGAATTAAAAAACCTACCTGCACAAGTTACAGAGGTTAATACCAGCCCCTTCTACTTGGATACCAACCAGTTAGAGCTACAGATAACCAGGGTCAACGTGTTGTCAGCTCCAGCTCAAGTTGGTTACTAACAGCACGGTGTTAGTGAGAGCACGTTGTTACTAAGTTAAAGTATGCAGAACCAATAATACTAATAGTCAGATACCCTCCCCAGAATTTTACCGAGCTGATGACAGCTGTTGACAGGTATTCCCTTACTCGCTAGGGAGTCCGAGTAGGAAAATAACATTTACAAAGTGCAGGGCTCGGTCGATTATAACTATATTTCAAAAAGCTCCTGTTATGAGCTTAATTGTGTGTCCTCAAGCTCACTGCGCGGCGAGTTATAGTTTACCTGGTGTAAGTCAGCTGAACTTTGGGTGAATTTCTGTTCCCTAGTAGTAATTGGATTCGAGAATATTTGACAGTTTAAAGCGCAAGTTGCCGCCCGGACGTGCTCCCTTTTTAGCTCCTTAATACAATATACTTCTTTCTGATCTTGGATCTTGCAGATCACTTACAAAAGTAAGTGAACGTTTTCTTTCGCATTCCAGGAGGACAATGTCCTTAATTTCATTGCATATGTCAAGTTAAAAGGATACCTTCAGCACGCCTAAGGCAGCTAGGAATAAGATGTTCAGGTTGCAGGCGGTCGTGTGATTCTACATTAAGCTACAGTACCCAACCCTGCAGTTACTGTTAGGGAACATCAGAACCACACTTTGACATGATCAAGGTACACATTATGTTAGGATTGTCACTAGTCACTTTCGCATTCGGTATATTTGTGCAGCAGCAGGTGTCTATTATACAAATTGCAGCAAAACCAACCTTTTGTTTGCAAAACATATTCCTAAATTGTACCAATGCCATGCACTCCTTTATTATAGCCGGCCAGACCTCAATACTCTATTGTTGCTAACATTAGTATACTGATAACTTGCCTGTAGTTTAAAGTGAACACTGAATTGTACGATAAGTTTAGCACGACATCCTGGTGTAAGAACCACAAATACCCAATCCTGGTCATTGGTTCTCATGCTCATATCTGCTATTGTTCCAATATTCCTTTGTCATTTCAGCCCTGAAGAATAGACATGGAGGAGCTACAAATAGCCACTTGAAGTGATGCTAGTCCACTGGTGATATTTTCAGACACTTCTTATGTAACGGGCACTAATTTCATTGTTTTGCCTTCCAATATTCAGTGCAGTTACAGTTATCCGGCTATAACATTCCATTGGAACCTTCATACACACTTATACAGTACACAGGGTCAGGATACATATCACATATCCCATAATTTATCATATCTAACCAAAATCGAATCAACCATAGCCGAAATAGTGCAGGGTTTAGGTATCGTACGTGATGGTCGATGGACCATGGTATATGTTTGCTTTGACTCTTATAATTTCCGAGGACTGTACGTATACACCCTGGCCAGATAAGTTGCTGTAATCATGAGTTGGATGAAGCATACTGGTAGTTATAGTAGTCACGTGACTCAGCTCACGTCACATGTGGGACAGTATCTCTGTCACATGTGGGACAATATCTCTGTCACATGTGGGACAGTATCTCTGTCACATGTGGGACAATATCTCTGTCACATGTGGGACAGTATCTCTGTCACATGTGGGACAATATCTCTGTCACATGTGGGACAATATCTCTGTCACATGTGGGACAATATCTCTGTCACATGTGGGACAGTATCTCTGTCACATGTGGGACAGTATCTCTGTCACATGTGGGACAGTATCTCTGTCACATGTGGGACAATATCTCTGTCACATGTGGGACAGTATCTCTGTCACATGTGGGACAGTATCTCGGTCACATGTGGGACAGTATCTCTGTCACATGTGGGACAGTATCTCGGTCACATGTGGGACAGTATCTCTGTCACATGTGGGACAGTATCTCTGACACATGTGGGACAGTATCTCTGTCACATGTGGGACAATATCTCTGTCACATGTGGGACAATATCTCTGTCACATGTGGGACAATATCTCTGTCACATGTGGGACAATATCTCTGTCACATGTGGGACAATATCTCTGTCACATGTGGGACAATATCTCTGTCACATGTGGGACAATATCTCTGTCACATGTGGGACAATATCTCTGTCACATGTGGGACAATATCTCTGTCACATGTGGGACAATATCTCTGTCACATGTGGGACAATATCTCTGTCACATGTGGGACAGTCAGTATATCGGTCACATGTGGGACAATATCCCGGTCAAAGCTGAAAGTAAAAGTAGCTACAGACTAAAGCAGTCACTGCAAGTTGCACTTACACAATATCATGTAGTTCCGAGTTCGAATACATAATTTTAAGAATATAATGTAGTTCGACTGCAGCCTTGCCTACTTCTACTTTTGTTTTGTATTGGTCATGAGTAAATTTGTAACCTGTAAATGACATAAAAGCAACACTATTTTCAGTTCTGTTATTTTTTTACATTGTTTAAAGTTATTTTTATTGTGATCTAGTTTCAATTACGATAACCAACAATTTTCCTAGTTTTACAGCCATCCCTATTCCCTACATCTTTAACTTTATTTATTATGTATATATCAGATCGGAAAAATTCTCGACATTATCAGTATCAATATCTGCACATATCACGTAGAGTCCGATAAGGTACATAATAAATGTAATAATTGTATAATAATTATATAAAGTTGCAAATGCACCAAGGAGTGACTGAGCATATTACCATAATGGTCTTACTCTAGCTTACTGTTAGTTCACTTGTCCGATGTAATTGCTGTGGCCCGGCCGGCACCCCATCACTTCTGTGCCACAGCTCACAGCTCACAGGAGTGACACGGCAGTGAGCAGCGACATCAGCCAAGTAATCTATAAATTAGCATAATATTTTGGCAAATTGCCAAACACGCACATTCACCATAATATAAGAAACTAAATACTTTTTACGGCAGTCGGCAGATCCAGATGGAATTGCTTAGCTACGATTTTGTGTAATTCTGGACGTGTTTTAGTTTTATTATTTATAGTTATCTCTTTTTCAATAACGAGAGAGTTACTGTTATAGTGTTAATTTTCCAGGCCAAAGGAACGGAAACATTGCACATTTCCATGAATACGTAGTGTATTTTTTAATGTTTATTTTGGGTTACAATTACATTGGATCGTCCAAAAGCGAAAGTGCATATCGCTTCCTCTCGCATGTTATAGTTGTTGCAGTATTAATAAATTAGTGGTTGTCCGGCTTATTTTCTCGTGTTTGAGTTGCTCAGGGTACCCTGTGATCACGATACATCGAAATGGTTATTGGTTTCAAACATCTGTATTACTACTACTAGTAGTAGTTACTACATCTGTATATATTAATTCAACCAGCTATAGTTTGCGCTCATTTTCTTCGTTGATTGATTAAAATTATGTAACAACCAGTCCAGATATCAAAAATTTTACACAATTCTCAAAATTTCAAATATTGTGCTGCAACAATCAACATCCTGATATGAGTGATAACTATGGAGAATGTTTCTGCCAGAACTGGTTTGGAAATTGGCTCCCAAATGTTTTGTTGAGCCTTGATCTAAAATCTTATCACCCTTATCAATAGTGCAAAGACAATTAAATACGATTCTATATTGACTCTGAAAATTTCATACAAAATATTAAGGAATGGAAAAGTAATTACGAATTGAACGAATTTTGTTATAGATATTTAAGACCGTTTCAATGTTTCGTGAACACCCTGATCTGTACTTGTAGTACCTGTATAGTACAGTGTACAGTGTACTTGTAGTACTAGCAAATTACTTTTCGAGTAATCTATACAATTCGTGGATCACGCCGGTCAGGTCACAAGTTAACCTCTAAGGAAATATACGCTAGATTTTTTAATAGCGATAGATTTGTTTAATAGCGATGCCGATACTGATAATAAGCACTTGTCTTAATCGAAAATATTAATTTGATATCTTCTTATAGCATGTTACAGGTGGCTTGAATTTATTAATATTGACGATAGAACATTTTAATCAAGACGATAGATGATTCTTTTTTTTCTAAATATACAACTATATTTCTAGCTCAAGAAATTCAGAAATCCGAGATGAAAGATACAAAAAGTATGATCTATCCCAGTTCAATGGTAAGATTGATATTTTCTAATATTTGCTTTGTTTATTCTAACAATCGTTATGAAGTTCTTTATTATTTCCCGCACTTGCTAATGCTTAATAACAAAAACAACAAAATCACATGATCGTACTGACCCCCATATTCCGACAGCTGTGTTTTGCACCAAAAGAAGCGAAGAGGAAAAAGAAAGCAGGTCCAGCCCATCTGCAGTGTATTAACGTGAGGTATGATGGTTACGGGCCCGACAGAACTCACGTGCCTCTCCAGAGGATATCCTGGATAAAATCCTTCCCTAGATACATGCCTAGCCAGGTACGTAAGAAACGTGTTTAACAGTAGTAGATCATTCAAAACATTCTCCTCAGCTCAGACACCCAGGACTCTTTAAAATAATTAATTTCTAACGACTGCTACCCCCTCAGTACACATCAGAAGACGTCTTATCAAAGCCTCAGTGGGCTGATCCCCCGATGGACTCCCCTAAAGTACGTGTCCCAGCTTATAACCAATTAGATGGCCCTGTGGATAGGAGGTCTCACCATGGAAACTATAAACTAGACGAGGGTGTACCTAGAAACCCTAGAGGAAGAACCGGCATGATAGGTAAACTCTTATTTTATAGCTCTGCGAAAAGTGAATCTATCGTTATAAATATAATGACACAATATTATCTGTTGATTTGATGAAGGCGCGTATTCTATTTCTATATTCCAACCTGACACCATCACTCTACAGGTAGAGGAGTGTTAGGAAGATGGGGACCAAACCACACAGCCACCCCAATAATCACCAGATGGGCCCGGGACAAGACTGGTGCCCTGAGAGAAGTGGAGGGGAAGAGGGTTCTGGAGACAGTTGCCGTCAGATCACGGACTGGCTGGGCTCTGCCTTGTGAACTTGTAGTTCCTGAAGACAAGTCAGTGTTTTCTCTGTAAATATTCCAATAAATATATCGAGTAATTCCCTTTCTAAAGACACCTAGTCTGGTTTTCTCTCACTAATGATCTTACACAATTAAAGGATGAGCACATATTATGGACCGAAAGTGCTCACTTTCGGTTAAGACTGCAGATTTGCAGTATTTCTCGGTTATAATTATATCACAGTAGAGTCACTAATACCAGAGAAGATGAATAGGAAAATAATGTACAGATAATTCTTAGTTTACCAAATAATACAGATTAGGGCGGACCACTTAAACTTTTGGTATTTCAGATTGGGTTTCGGTACAAGGAGAGCGTTTTTAACGGAACTTGTCCGGAACAAGACAAGAACAGCTGCTGAGGATGCTAGCAAGTCACTGTCACAGTTGTTTGCGGAGGGAACTGTCATTTACAGGGTCAGTACACTTTCAATGCAGTTTTAGAGATAATTAGTGGATTATGGCACATGATTATATTGTGGTATTTAATAACTTAACAATATAATCAATGATAATGTTACGTGATTATACAAGAGAAATGTAAATATAAGACTATACATAGCATTTCCCACAAATAATTAACGCTTTCACCACAGGGTTATGTTGACGACGCCAAAAACACGGACAATGCCTGGCTAGAGACAGTTTCAGTCAACTTCCACGACAACTCCGGAACAAAGTTCGGCTCCTTCAGACTGGCGGAGGACTTCACCTGGGTGGAAGCTCACTTCTCTCTGAATGTGTTCGCTCAACACAAAGAATGGTTGAGGGAGGTTGTGGAGTTACACCGGGCTCACTGGTGAGATACCACTTCTGGCTCACTGCCAAGAGATGTATAGCACTAGATAATATCTAGTATATACATCTTGGCAGTGAGCCAAGTAATAGTATCTAGTATATACCCCTTCTAACTGTGATGAAACGAACTGCGGAGATACCGATACTCGACAACATTCCTGTTGTGTTGCTAGTAAAAGTGTGATCATTACTACACGAGGTTAACTCTCAAGTCTGAGCAGCAATTTTGCTTTTGACTGCAGGGACTAGAAATTATGACTTAATCTATTTCTGGGGCGGAGTTTAAGGACGAGTGTTAACTGCCGGATCACTATGGAACTCAAAAGAATAGCTGCATTGCCCACTTTTGCCTGAGCATTCGATGTAAATGAAAAATGTCATGTGCCATTTAGGCTGAAGGATGTTATTATTTTGTTGGCAGAGAGAAAGCACCGAACAATGCGAGTAATCAGCGTTCAGCCGGTTCAGCGATGGATAATTTACATCCTGAGCATTCCACAAATCATAGCAGCTCATAACTTATTTGACGAACTGAGTAGCAATTAGAGTCCAAAAGAAGCCCTCATAGATATCAAGTTAAACTTAATGTAGTACTGAATATGAACTGGACACTAACTGTACATGTCAGATACCCATTCATTTGACGAACCCAGTAGCGATCTATATCATGTATACTTCATGGTAATAAACATGCAAACACCTTAACAGTTAACATGCTAAACATTATTTATTATGTTTCATTTAAAGTTATATTAGGTTTAACTAGTTTTTGATTTCGATAATATGTTGTTTGTTAATAAATACTGTTTATTTTCTATTCTACAAAGTTTTGATACGAACTAAATGATAAATAATACAGGAAATTCAAAAGCTTGCAATCGAAAGTTGTTGTTTTTCTTTTAATCATGGATCAAAGTAAAACGTAAATAATTTAGATGCTACTATGATAAACCGACAGTTTATCCGCAGAATTACCAGGAGTGTATAACATAAAACTTCATCACATACATGATCACAAAATAAAAATCACCCGGTAAATCAAATTTCACTGGACGTGTCACATATTATCATTCACTCTCTTGCATGGAGTAGATTTAATGAATGAAAAATATTTAAAAAAATCAAATAACAACCTAGACCATCAAATAAAGTTTGTTAAAACATCTGCTATTTCAATCAGTGACAAACTTATCATCAAAGATCCCTGAGATGACAGAATAAATATAAAACTGATCTCAGCGAGGAGGTGGGGGTCTCATGTGACCAGTGATCTTGGTTGCCATAGCGATCATCTGTTGGATGTTACCTTGAATAGGTTTAGCTCCTGGTATCATTGGAGGGGTAGAGGCGCTAGATCGGGGTAAAGGTGGTCTGGCTGGTTGATAAGGTTGCGGTGGGCCACCTAGTCGAGGCGGGGGCGGGCCACCCATTCGAGGTGGGGGAGGGCCACCCATTCGAGGTGGGGGAGGGCCACCCATTCGAGGTGGGGGAGGGCCACCCATTCGAGGTGGGGGAGGGCCACCCATTCGAGGTGGAGGAGGGCCGCCTAGTCGAGGCGGGGGAGGGCCACTCATTCGAGGAGGAGGGCCGCCTAGTCGAGACGGCGGGCCACCCATTCGAGGTGGGGCTGGAGGTGAACCTCGGGGTCGGGATGGAGAAGGGCCCCCAAACCGAGATGGAGGTGGACCTCTAGGTCGAGGTTGTCTGATAGGAAGTCTGTGTTCTGAAACTGCCATTAGAGGCTCTCTCCGGACAGGAGGTCTGTTTGACAAGTTCTCAGCAGCTATCCTCTGAGAGGAGATGAGACTAGCAATGGATGCCTGATGTGAGGTCCCTGTATTAGAACAAGGTGTTTGTTGAGGTCTGTGGTGAGCGGCCCCCCCATGTTGGGCGGGTGGTCTGAGGTGAGGTATCCCCGGGGGCAAGCTTGGTCGAGCAGCAGCATGTTGAACTGCATTTTCCTGAGCCAAGGCGGCCGATACGTTCTGAAATTATAATTTATATCATTTTAAAGGTATCCAATCACCTTGAGAGGCTACTATATTACAGCAATTTTTTGTATCATAAATTTAAAAATCATTAAAATATCTACAACTAATAAATCTCTCCTTAACCTTGACATCGATATAAACTTTGTTTGGGTCGTTGAAGTTGGCGTTGTACTTGGCGTTCTGACCAGGGGTGGTGGTCTTGAAGAGGATGGACATGACAGTTGATGTGGGAGCTTCCTCTGGACACGTCTGATTGTACTTGTCCGCTTCTATCGCTAAAATCTGCGAAGTTGTTACAAAATAATTAGACTTGCAGTCAAAATTATGCTGCCGAAATGATACAGCCGGTGGCTCTCCGTTCCCTTATATAGCCCTTCAGCATAATCTTTATCAATTATACTTTATCTATCGTGATATATGCCAGAACGAAGTGAACATCTGATAGTCCTCAGGTAAATTGTGATTGCGAGTGGTCTGCATTATTCAACAAAAAACAACAAACCGCACCTTTTTTAAAGCCCATAGAGCAGCTCTTCCTTTAGATTCCTTCTTGCTTGGTGCCACGGAAGGAGGAATGAACTGACCCCAGGCTGTTTTAGCAGTTATCTGGTGGACTCCAGTGGAGGGGTGGTCTATGTACTCCGGACAAGGTCTCCCTATGTGCTGGTGTATCTCCCCTAGTCCAGATACTGCATGCTTACCTGTCACGTGGTGGGCTCAGTTATGTGCGTTGTAAAGATACTTCTTATGCTTTACTTTGAACCACTTAAAGATTGGAGATACTTTATACGTAGTTCATGACTGATCTTGTTAGAGAGAAACAGAAAGAGAAAGGGGTATCGAGACTTACCATTCACAATCTTGAGCACCCAGTTACAGCCCACAACATTCGCTCCTCTTTCTGCTGCTGGGTTTTTCTTTATAACCTCTTGTCCCGTCATCAATCCTGGGAAACGTAAAATTACTACGACGTATTTTAGAGTAGTCTTACTTAAATGAGAAATAAGATATGTCAAACAAATTCGATGAAAGTTACGATATTTAACTTTATTTATAATAAATATAATATGCTAATATAATACCAGTCAAACAGTGTGTCAGTGTCAAAGGAACACATTTCTGCCGCCAATATAAAATACTTACTGTCCTCGGCATTGCAATTGGGAAGCTTCTTTACACCTCATCGACTTGGAGCACGAACAGCTGGCCACAACTGATACCTTTTGATAACTGATATCATTCGTCATAATTTTCGACAAAATTTGGCACAAAAAACCAAATTTTGTCGAAAATTCGGAATGTAAAAATTGTGTTTCGATGGAAGATCATGATAATATGATACCAACTTATTAGGGGTGAGTTATCAGAAGGTATGAGTTACGGTCAGTGTTTAACTTACAATGAAGGGAGTCGGGATTCATGTTGCTTACATGAGGAGTCTATGTTATACCTACTAAAATTAACCAAATAACCAATTTAGAATTAGCAGCTGAGATTGGACACTTTTTATTGCAATCTTAGCTGCTAATCGTAATTCCTTCTTTAAATTTTATATGTTTTTAGCCCTTATGGAAGATGTACTTTCCCCATTTGCATCCTAACCGTAGATCGATAATCGATATGTATTGGATAATCTAAAATTCTTTAAGTATAGTCGAACTGTGAATATGTCTGTAATAAGGGTTTGAGCAACCCTTTAGCTTTGCAGTTTGCATACAATCGAAATTGGTAAACTCTATACAGGCGTTTCAATTATCATTGAATTTGTCAGTGCTCGGAAAGGGCCTAATCGAAGTGACCGGTTTTAAAACCTTTTTTTTACTGACTAATCTAAAACGCCAATCTTTAAAAACTCAGGAAAAAATATTGTACTGTAGTAATGGGGGTGGGTGGGCGAGGCTGAAGCTGAGCCGCCAACATCAGGTACCTGAACAAGTTAAAGAAGTTAAGGTTGATTGACCTCAGCATTGTTGGAGCCAAATAAACTTGCTGCACCAACAAATTGAGATCAATCAACATCAACCTTTTGGAAAATGTAAAACATTCAAAGGGAGATAATATAATTACAGAAACCTTTGCGGTCGGTTTTCACAGCCAGTTGAAGAGGGTTCACATCACCGGTACCCTCTTTTCCCAGACCCTGTCCCGAACTCCAGCCCATCTTCATCATCATCGCAATCCCCGGACTCTCTGTTAACGGAGCAAGGTTCATGAACATGTCCTGGAATTTGAAGTATTTCTAACTTACCCGGAATTTGGTCGAACTGTTAAGTTTCGATTGTACCAAAATTTAGATTTTAAACGAATTCTTCAGAGATTTGCAATAGCTATTTTTTCGATGAAAATGAAGTATAAGATTTTTAGTTATAAACCTTTCTAGCCCAGGTGAGAGGGTGATGAAGTATAAGTTATAAACCTTTCTAGCCCAAGTGAGAGGGTGATGAAGTATAAGTTATAAACCTTTCTAGCCCAGGTGAGAGGGTGATGAAGTTTAAGTTATTAAGTTATAAACCTTTCTAGCCCAGGTGAGAGGGTGATGAAGTTTAAGTTATTAAGTTACAAACCTTTCTATCCCAGGTGAGAGGGTGATGAAGTTTAAGTTATTAAGTTATAAACCTTTCTAGCCCAGGTGAGAGGGTGATGAAGTATAAGTTATTAACCTTTCTAGCCCAGGTGAGAGGGTGATGAAGTATAAGTTATAAACCTTTCTAGCCCAGGTGAGAGGGTGATGAAGTTTAAGTTATTAAGTTATAAACCTTTCTATCCCAGGTGAGAGGGTGATGAAGTTTAAGTTATTAAGTTATAAACCTTTCTAGCCCAGGTGAGAGGGTGATGAAGTATAAGTTATTAAGTTATAAACCTTTCTATCCCAGGTGAGAGGGTGATGAAGTTTAAGTTATTAACCTTTCTAGCCCAGGTGAGAGGGTGATGAAGTTTAAGTTATTAAGTTATAAACCTTTCTATCCCAGGTGAGAGGGTGATGAAGTTTAAGTTATTAAGTTATAAACCTTTCTATCCCAGGTGAGAGGGTGATGAAGTTTAAGTTATTAAGTTATAAACCTTTCTATCCCAGGTGAGAGGGTGATGAAGTATAAGTTATAAACCTTTCTAGCCCAGGTGAGAGGGTGATGAAGTTTAAGTTATTAAGTTATAAACCTTTCTATCCCAGGTGAGAGGGTGATGAAGTTTAAGTTATTAAGTTATAAACCTTTCTATCCCAGGTGAGAGGGTGATGAAGTTTAAGTTATTAAGTTATAAACCTTTCTAGCCCAGGTGAGAGGGTGATGAAGTTTAAGTTATTAAGTTATAAACCTTTCTAGCCCAGGTGAGAGGGTGATGAAGTTTAAGTTATTAAGTTATAAACCTTTCTAGCCCAGGTGAGAGGGTGATGGCTGTCAAGCAGCTCTTTTGGTAGAGGTGTGGTCAGTGGGGCGCCAGTGTAACGTCCTCCAGCATTTCGGACAGTAGAAGACTGCCACTGATTCATCTGATCGTGAGAAAATGAAAGGGTAAATAATTTTCTGAAGTTCTTTTAGAAAATCAGGACCAAATCTAAATGAGTTTTTCTCCTATCTGTCCAATATATGGCCCATTTTTTATAAGATCGGCTTGTGCATGGTGCAAAAGACCCTGCCCAGTTTAAATTATATCATTGTGTTTGGAGCGATAAAGACATACGGTATTTAATAGTTTGACAGCATGTTTGAAAATTATTTTTGAGTAGCATTATGGCTCATCAGATTCCTTAATGCAGGAAACATTTTGACTTACTAATATCTGAGCTTCGTGCAATATCTTTTTCGCAGCTAAGTCATGTGGGTCTTTAAGCAGGAGTTTGTTCGCTTCAATTCTCATTTGCATTATTTCTGACAGCGATGGCTGAGGAGATGATCTATTGTTACAAATACAAACTTATCATGAAATAAATATAAATTTGGTATGATCCCATGAAAGTGTGCTCCAGCTCCATATAATAGCTTCTCGGTCATTTAATAAGAAAATGTTAACAATATCTAAAGAAGAAATTCTTTATATCTCCCTTACCGGAGGTTTCAGTTCACCCTCCTCCTTTTCCTCCTCCGCCTTCCCTTTCTCCTTAGGACCCTCAATTGCCAACACAGAGGCTGCTGCTTTCTCGGACTCCTCAGTCTTGTGGTCGGACCCACAAGAGACGGGGAACAACTGTTGAGCTAGAACGGGGGGTAACCTCACCCTATCCAATGTAGGAGCCGCTAGAGAGGGGGTTGCTGATGGGTACAGGGTAACTAAAGCTTTGTCCATCTCAGGTCCCTCTATGGCGAGGTAAGAGCTGGAGGAAGGGAGTCCGCGAGGAGGACGTTCCACGCTGGAGGAGCTGGATCTGTGTCGGGATCTGCTCCGGGACCGTCTGCGTTTCCTCCGGTCTACAGGCCTGGACACTGGCAAGTCAGGACCATCCTGTATTGACTTACATTTCCTCACGTAGTCATCTTTATCTGAAATAAGTACGGTTAACCGACGGGATGATTTATTTGAATCAATTGGAAGTTTGTTCAGCTATCATTTAAAGTTGTTGGTATTCTAACAATTTAGGATTTTATCAAGGAACGTTAAAGGAGAAAATAATAGTTACCTCTTGAATCCGATCTCGATCTCGATTTGGACTTGCTTTCCCACAATTTTTTGCGGTGTCTACGTGATCTTCCTCGACTCCGAGAACGACTTCGTCTTCTTCGTCGATTATGGGATCGGTGTCCACTATCCCGATTCCTACTTCGGGATCTCCTTTTACTTTTGTTCCGGGACCGACTGTTGGAGCGAGAACTTTTACGTGGCCTTGAGGACCTCTTTGGGCTCTTAGACTTGCTGCGTTTTGACTTTTTCGGACTTTTGCTTTTAGATTTCGATTTGATGCGTTTCAATGGCTTGGGACTTTTGGACTTGGACTTGATTTTTTTTGCCAGTTTTGGGGACTTTGACCGAGATTTACTGTTGGTTTTCTTTTCTCTGTATTGACGATCCTTTTTGCTGCTCGGTGATTTAGATCTAGACTTGTTCTTTTTCTTTTTCTTTTTCTTCAACTTGTCTTTTAACTTTTCGATAGAATTTTCTCGTTCTTCAACCTAACAATTGAATGGGTTACAAATATACAGGGTCGTCTTTTAACATTTTTCTAAACTTGCCCCGTTGAGTTTTGCTATAATTTTTATCGGTATCACTATTTAGTGATAAATATCATGATTTTGAACACTGGAACGTGATTTTACCACTTAATACCCTCCTCAATAATGAAGCTCACATCCCCTACATAATATTACAACCCTTGTGTTCGGACTGCTTTTTAACAATTATAAACAGAAGTCACAATATCATGAATCACACTCAAACCCCGTCTAAAATCTATAGATTTGAAAACAAATCCACACGAACAGCTAACCTCCTTTGCATCCTCCTTCAGTTTCCTCCTCTTGTAAATAATTTTCGCGAGTTCGATAGCAGGAAGAGCCTCATTGAGGGGAGCCCCCTTTGAGCCCTCTTGTGTGGCTACATGAAGTCTGTAGCTCCTGTGATTGAATTGTGAAATAAAAATGGGAATTTTGATCAGCACGTGGTGGTGGAGTTAACCAAGAATCATTCTAAAATATTCGAAACACGCAGTTGTAAACTGTACAGTATGCCTGTACAGATTACCTATGTAGCAAATCTATAAACCCATTTATTCAGCTTACAGAACCAATTCCGCCTGTTGCAACAGTGGAGGCAGTAACGAATGACTCTGTAAAAACTTACTTTAAATCTTCCTCGGTTATGAGATTTGTTTCGATGTAGTCGCCGTTATCCTCGAATATCACCTCACTTTCGGACGATCCTCCCGCATCTGAGTCATTGCTGGGCATGCTAGAAGTTACCTTCTAAGCCTCTTTTTAGACCATCATCAGTATATCAGTTCTTGATACATGTCTTAAACTATAGAAAAGTGTTTAGAACTTTATTATGAATGAATAGTATTAAGAATAGTTTCACGGCGTGATATCCTTAGTTGGCTGTGCGCTTAACTTAATGTTCAAGTTTGCTTGCTAAATCTTATGAATAAGATTTACAAAACGGTAAAACTTAAAAGCAAAGTTATCGAGTTTGGAGAAGCAACGATAGAAGGAGCCCGTATTCCCCGTAACCAATGATATATACCTACCACGGAGGAATGATTCGGTATTTTCTTTAAATTTTCTCTCAAACAGTTTTAAGTTAAAGTCTTAACACGCATTAGTCGCTGTTGATGGAAGCAAGCCAGATAATTGTAATCAATAAACGATGTGATATATATATATATATATTATATATCATGTATATAATATTAACGATGATGTGATATATAATAGTGGAGTACACGATATGCATGCAGCGCAGTGTTGTGTGCGCCGCGCGCCGCGCCGGGTCACGCGCAGCCTTTATGCTGCTGGCTTTCCTTTCACTATATCAATGTCGCTGCGTTTTCCAGTATCTGTATAATTTCACTGTGACAACTTATCGAATGTTGCCACATATCAAAATTTAGTGCATACTGCATGCCACACCTGATTTCCAAGAACGAAAATCATGCCTAAGGTATTTTCAAAGCTCTGAAATTCATGGTAAATGGTGTTACAGTAGATGGACCAAAGCTGACTTTAAAACTAGCAACAAAAGGTCGATTAGTTGCATCTTATCTGTTATCACTGCCCAGGTAGCAGATTCTATTAATATAGACAGGACACTGGTGTTCGTCATAATATTAGAAAATTGGAAACTTACTGAACCATTCTGTCGAGGTGTTTCGCTGTAAAAAATCCCAAAACATGTCATGGGTAAATATTTCTACCCACAATGTGTCCTGTGGGTACTCTCGAATGAACATTGCACATGCCTATGGAAAAATACTGTTAAAATTCAGACTATCGTAGTATGTAAATAGATAGACTGATTTTAAATTGCCAACAAAATCATAAAACACAGATATAATACCAAGTTACTGATTAGTTATAATCCCACTAAATGTAGCAGCCTAGCCTGTCAATACCAATTTGGAGACACATTTTGTTTCATGCAATATTAGCTCATAATATTTACAGAGGATTTGATGAGGATTTCATTCTTCAATGAGGCTTACATCGTACTCATGTCGTATTTCTGAGTCTGAAACTATGTAAGGAAATAGCAACTCGCTTAGCATTCCCAAATTAGATCAAATGATAGAAATATAACGAGAAAATTAGAAAAACACATTTGAAAGTCAATCAGCATTACTTGAGCTGTGTGTAAACAAATACATTCAGTCGAATAAAAACAAACCGGTACACGTGAGAAAAACTCAATTTAATGAAACAACTACTACTTAATCGTCACGCTCACTCTTCGCACTTTAAGTACACAACATGTGTCATCATATATAGAAATTTATCAAATAAAAATTGCGAATTAAAAAGTTAATGAAGTTAAAATTCAGAGCTGCTGTGCTCTTGACTTGATGTTCAATAAATATGATTGCAACGAGCTCATAGTTCACAATTTAATCGCAACAAATACCATGTTCCAACGAAGGACTATCTGCGTATTTTATATTCTGACGATATCTTATATATCTCGTATCTCAGTACAGGGTTAAATGTTATGCATGTAAAACCATGCTCTGACTTCGCTAAACCTCAACATGTGCACTGAGCCGCTCGATTACTTTCCTATACTCCAGTTCCACGTCTCGGTACGACTTCTCAAGGAACTCGTGCTGGTTGTCCACTGATTTAGATTGCAGGACTGCCTCATACTCCTGAACAGAAATATGTAAAACATGTAAAGTTTTAACATAATATCAGGTTTTGAGATTACCTTTACTTACACGTAATTAAGTTATTCAAGAAACAAGATAATGAACACGACAAATCAGCTATCTCGCTAACCTGGGGCTGCAGGAATTTTTCCAACTTCTGAAGAGACTTCTTTTCTTTTTGGAATGGAATATTAAGTCTCCTCTTCACTTCTAATCTGTATTTTTTGTATTCCTCAGCTTTAGATACATCTGTAGCTCGTAGTCTCAATAACTCGTAGATTTTCCTAACTTGAACCGCTGTTATCTTGTACTTTACACCTGCTTCTGCCACCATTTCCTGAAAATAAGGGAAAAAATAAAGAAAGGAAAAAAATTTTCAGAAAGGAATTGCCACCTCTTAAGATAAAACACCAAATGAATTTGATGGAAAGTAAATGGTATTACGTTGAACAGAGGACAGCTCACCTCTGAAAAGCCATCTTTAAGCTTGTCTGGCTGAAAAGAGGGCAGTGAACTGCACTTTAGAGCATCCACAAAATTCCTAAGCCGAGTAAAATTCTCAGAGGGATCCTCAACAGTGATATCACAGACGAGCGGGTCCGCACAAGAGTGTTCGTACATGGCAGTAAGAAGCTTGGCACCATGCCCACACTTCTGATACGGCGGCAGAACTAGAACTTGACTTATCCGGGGTCTCTTTTTGTTTGGGTAGCAGTAGTAGTTGTAGCAGGAGAGGAACCCTATACTTTTGTACCTGAAATAGTAATTAGTAGGGGACCGGGAGGGTATGAGATGAGGGGGGGGGGGGGCCGGGGGGGGGGGGGGTAAGTAATAAGTATGTGGATACTAGGATTAAATAATATGAAATAGTAGGGGGAGGGTCTAAAGTAGAAGGGTAACTGTGTTGAAACTAGGATTACATAACATGAAATAGTAGGGGGAGGGTCTAAGGTAGAAGGGTAACTGTGTTGAAACTAGGATTACATAATATGAAATAGTAGAGGGAGGGTCTAAGGTAGAAGGGTAACTGTGTTGAAACTAGGATTACATAATATGAAATAGTAGAGGGAGGGTCTAAAGTAGAAGGGTAACTGTGTTGAAACTAGGATTACATAACATGAAATAGTAGAGGGAGGGTCTAAAGTAGAAGGGTAACTGTGTTGAAACTAGGATTACATAATATGAAATATTAGGGGGAGGGTCTAAAGTAGAAGGGTAACTGTGTTGAAACTAGGATTACATAATATGAAATATTAGGGGGAGGGTCTAAAGTAGAAGGGTAACTGTGTTGAAACTAGGATTACATAATATGAAATAGTAGAGGGAGGGTCTAAAGTAGAAGGGTAACTGTGTTGAAACTAGGATTACATAATATGAAATAGTAGGGGGAGGGTCTAAGGTAGAAGGGTAACTGTGTTGAAACTAGGATTACATAATATGAAATAGTAGGGGGAGGGTCTAAAGTAGAAGGGTAACTGTGTTGAAACTAGGATTAAATAATATGAAATAGTAGGGGGAGGGTCTAAAGTAGAAGGGTAACTGTGTTGAAACTAGGATTAAATAATATGAAATAGTAGGGGAGGGTCTAAAGTAGAAGAGACATTCAGACCAATTCAAAAGTTTCAAAATAAAACAAATGATGATTGATATCAATGTTAATATTTTAAAATTAAATTAATTATTTCAGTTTATCCTACATGAATTGAGATTTCTTAATTAGATCACTCCGCAGTAGGGCAGCACAATGAACATTGAACATGAAAGATTCTTTTTACTGAATATTTCAGGATATTCAACATGAAATGTTGGGATTTTGACTCATTCTCACTGCATAATTTGAATATGTAATATGAGTCATTCCGACTGTCGCGTCGTGACACTGAATGTCTTTTGTAAGTATTTTTTCTTTATATCGCAAATACGTCATAAGGTTGTGGAATTTCTATATATTTCTTTTTATTCCTTCTTTTTTATTCATTTTTATTTCCAAGTCATTGTTGAAGTAATAAAAAGTAATTCTATTCTATTTTCAGCTGTTGTACTTGACGACAAATCTGTCACAACTGCAACCGATCAAAATTTGGTGTGCACGATCAGTGGATTATCACAGAACTCCCCTGTTACTTGGATTGGACCTGACAACAACGAGATATCAGACTCTGAGACCAACAACTATGTTGTTGATCAAGGCACATACCGACAGTCGGGCAATTCAATATTATAACTTTATAAATGTACTTTAATTTAATTTTGTGACGTCCAGTTTTTATCTGACCACGACAGTAACCATGGTAACCATATTTCTTGTTTCCTACCCTAATTATTATTAACTTAACAACACTGTACCACACTACCACAGTTATGGCTTCAAGTTCTAAACCGAAAGGAAAACAAAAAGAAACCCCAGGTGACTTTATAATTCTATATTAGGCAACGCTTAAGATTTTAGTTAACATCAAAGTCATACATCCAAAAGTTTTCAGTTGTTTCCTGTCACCTACCCTAATTATTATTAACTTAACATGTTTGTAGGAGGACAGAAGTGTCGTGCGCCTCGCTGCAAAACATGCCCCCTTTCATTTACGGAGTCGAAGATCAAGGTCAACGGCATGAATCTGAAGCTGGACCAAACGTTAACATGTAAGGACGATAATGTTATTTATGTTGCCCAGTGCCAGCTATGTCACAAAAGAAAGAAGGGAGAAAACCCAAATTGCGGCAACTACGCTTATTTCGGAAAGACAGAAACACCATTCCACATCCGTGTTAATGGCCACCGTAGTCACTTTAATGACAAAAGTTATAATGATTCTACATTATCTCATCACTGGTATAAAAAGCACAACAAAACTGTTACAGAAATTGAAATGTTCAAATTTGGGATCGTGGAGAAAACAACACCGAAGTCATTAAGCAGTCGAGAAAGTTTCTTTTGTAAACAATTTAAATCAGAGAGCTGTTTGTTAAATAGAATCAAACCCCCAAGTGGCTAAAATATAAAAAGTGGCTAAGAATCTGTTTTGGTCGGAAAAAGTGGCAATACATGTTTCGGCCATATGTTTGGTTTAAATTTTGCGTTTCGGCTGAGTTTTTAAGGACTCACACGTTTGTAGCCTTGGGTCCGCTTTTTGAGTACGTTTAACTGACCAAGTTTTGAGTATCTAGATTTATCCCGAGGTTATATTTTAGTTTTTACGGCACTAACTTAATTTCACAAAATTATTGAGACAACCTTTTTCTATTCTATTCGTGAACATTTTAAGAAAAAACAGTTCTGAATGTTGTATAAAACACACTTCTGATACAACCAAATTGTATATAGAGACACACTTCTCTCCTTTTCTGTTCCTGATATCTATATCGGGACAATGGACACACTTCTCGTTCAGTTTTAGTTAGTCTAGACTTCTGTTATAGTTAGTGTTTATCGTCACTTCTTAAACAAGAATTTTTAGCGTTATCAATTTTCAGTAATATGGGATTAGTAATATGGGATTAGTAATATGGGATTAGACCGATTAGTGTATTATTGTACCCAAGAAAGGGTGCAACATTAAATTACTTTGAAAATTTTACAGAAAAAACAACAAAAAAAACAAAAAAACAAAAAAACAAAAATATAAGATAGACTTGAGCCATTAGCTCACTTGATTTTTAACATTCCTATTAAATCTTGTTTTTGGTTAAATAATTATGGTGCATTATTTGACACTGTTAATTTTACTATTAGTATTAACTACATATTTTTGAAAAAAAGCCTATTTTTTATTACAAGTTTAAAAGATTAAATTACCTTGTTTCACCGCACGAAGTTACCCTCTCGAACAAAGTATAAAGGTTCCAGTTGTGGTCCTCATCATCAATATAACTAGCGGCGTCAATGTACCATATAATGAAGGTCTGCAGTCTGCTGTGATAATCCTGGAACTTTGGATTTGCGAATGTGGCGTGGAATATCTCGAACGTTTTTTCGTCCTGCAAAATAGACTCGGGTTATTTTTGCCTTATTTTACCTTCAAATATGAAGCTAAAAGATTACAAGTGACAAAGGTAATAACACAACTTAAACGTTTAGCTGTAACTTGATCTGAACTATTTAAAATATTATATATTTGAATATTCAAAATATTCAAAATATTCGAAATATTTAAAATCTGAACCTGTTTATAGGATGTTATGAGGTCACCAGGAGGCCTGAAACTCTTATCTTTGTTCATGTCCATGATAAACTCATTGTAGTTAGTGGTGAATCCAGCGGGGGTCTGTTCGCTTATCAAGTGAAGCACGTTGTCGGGCTCCACCGTGCTATTCACTGGTACCTGATACAGACACATTAAGTAGGATATTAAACTGGTACCTGATACAGACACATTAAGCTATTAAGTAGGATATTAAACAAGTCTGCAGCTGTGATTATAGAATAATCGCTTTATTCTCTTCCTTTTTGATAGGGTGAAAGTAATGGAAAATAGTTGAGTTAAACTTGTGATAAGTGGGCTAACAAATAGTTGATGTTAGCATTCCTTTAAATCTCAGTTCTATGATTTCTAACAACCCAAACAAGCTATAAACATAACGGCCACTATCACCACATAAATACAAAAGAACAATTACCGTTTCCGAGTGTTGAACCTTGACATACTGTTTGAGGGACCCAACAGTGTAGTAGATGTTGATCTTCAGACCCTTGTAACCGAATATCACTTCCTGGTCTCCAAATACCTACATCATGGTGTTGATATTATTAATAAATAGATAATAAATTAAAACATTTAGTACGCTAATGATAAGATAGTACTAATACTATATTAGATTGAAATTAGCTACTTTCGTTAATTGAGTCATTATTTAATACAAATTACACAGTTAAGTGATAAAACTAAATGGCAGTGAAAAGTGTGACTACACTACACAGCTCAGTATTACGTTGTAAAACATGATATTAAAACTCCGGTTTGAAATAAAGGTGAACCCACAAGTTTTATGGTCAAGAACCTAGTGTAATATAAACTCTGGTTTGGAAGTGAATCTGTGAAAGAGAAACTACACATACTATATCACCTGATGTGTGAACTCTAGCTTAAAAGTGAAAGAGAAACTGCACGTGCTATAATTACCTGATGGATGAACTCTGGTTTAAGTGAAAGAGACACTACACGTGCTATACATTACCTGATGGATGAACTCTGGTTTGAAGTGAAAGAGAAACTGCACGTGCTATAATTACCTGATGTGTGAACTCTGGTTTGAAGTGAAAGAGACACTACACGTGCTATACATTACCTGATGGATGAACTCTGGTTTGAAGTGAAAGAGAAACTGCACGTGCTATAATTACCTGATGGATGAACTCTGGTTTGAAGTGAAAGAGACACTACACGTGCTATACATTACCTGATGTGTGAACTCTGGTTTGAAGTGAAAGAGAAACTGCACGTGCTATAATTACCTGATGTGTGAACTCTGGTTTGAAGTGAAAGAGACTACACGTACGTCGTACCGTGCTATAATTACCTGATGTGTGAACTCTGGTTTGAAGTGAAAGAGACACTACACGTGCTATACATTACCTGATGTGTGAACTCTGGTTTGAAAGTGGCTGCCGTATCGTCAGGAGCCTGTACGTCAGCCTCGCACTCACAGAACTTGAAGAATATAACGTCCTCAGCTTCACACACGAACTTCTCTCTGTTACCGCGCTCTATCGGAGCACATAACCCATCTAGTACATTCATTCCTGCAGTAGTTCACATTAAATATTATCTACTGCACGTTAATTAATCACGCGTTTTGTGTTTTCAGTAGAATTACTTTTTAAGTCTATACAAAATTAAAGTTACGAAAAATGTGAGGTATCTCACATCATCAAAAATGGTCAGTAATCAGTATTTATCTTATGAACACAATCCTAAAACTGGTCGAATTGTTGTTTTAATTGTTGTGTATATACAGTGATTAAAATGGAGACAAATGAAGCTCAGCAAGTTGGGACAATTTCCAATGAAAATAGAAAAATAATTTAAAACTTAGTATCAGTAACTAGCAATATATCATATTATATCCATTCCAAACAATGTTAGGAGCTCTAGATCACCTAGAACTTGCATAAAACAATTGAGTTAAAGACTGTGTTAAAGCAATCTAAACATATTTTAATAATACGAGAGCTTAATCCGGGAGAAATGCCTACTTTACAGTTTTATACTTTAGCAAATTCAATCGTCATGTACGGAGGATTTCTATAATCGCTTTAGCTTTTTAGATACAATTTTTTTGTTAAAACAACGTATTTTTATGTCACAAACACACATCATAATTTACACTGAACAAAATTGGAGTATTTTCATCTCATGGCACAATATCAGAATATATGAATTTAAAATATCCAACAATTTAAAATATCCAACGATGCAAGTGCTAGTACTTTTAAATTTATAACTTCATCATTTAATTATAAATAGTTATCAATGAAAAGTACTGACCAATAAGCGTAAATTCTAAATTTCTAAATACCGAGTTGCCTAGTAGAAAAGATGTTTCTAATCTCAATCGTTGTGATAGTGCCAGCACAAACTCACATTAAAAATCATGCCAAAATCCTCAAATCGCATTAAAAATTGCAATTCGGAAATGTCGATCATAAATTCATAATTCATAACACAAAAATTACCCATCAAAAGAATAAAGCAATATACCATACCCATAACCTAAACATTCAGAACTGAAATCATTGGGAATCATTAAACAACTACCTTGTGCCGATATCATGGAATATATCATCGCTATCACCGACAAACTCCAAGTAACCGACAGAATCGATGAAGTGCGACAGTTCAGCGCCCACAATTCCATGCCTCTTGGGGTTAGACCCACAGTTCATGAGTCCATGTTTGGTGAGTTGTTCCTCAAAGTGCTTCCTAAACAAACAGAACACCCCCCTAAACACCAGCTGTATTTCAGAAGGCTGGAGCAGCGAAGCCAGGGCCTCGTGGAGTTTAATGGTTTGCCTGGTTACCACGGTGATGGCTGGGGATGGGGTCGGTGGTTTGGGTTGCCAGTTCCGTAAACTTCCAAGATACACATCACCCATGATGTTGATAAGTTTGCTGAAGATCTGGTTCATGTGATCCTGGATATCAGTTTCTAAATTATTGATCTGATCCAGGAGGAGGTGCTGAGTTTTAGGGAGGTGCACTATAAAGATGCTCCTGACCCAGGGTAGTAATAGCAGGACTACTGATAATGACTGGGAGGCGATCCCTAAATGTTTTGCTGTGATTGTTTTCAGTCCAATGTTCTTGATAGCTCCTGCTTTTAAAACCAAATGACATGTTCCCTCGTTAAAATGTTTCAAATTTTCCACTGTTTTCGTAAGAATGTCTTTAGACATAACAGGAATATCAACTACACACTGGCAGTACTCCACAACAATCTTAATAACAAGGAGGAGGGTGCTGGTGACGATGTATTGTTTGCCACTGAACAGCAGTGAGGTGGTGGGAGGGTTGTTGGTGTGGCTGGTGGGTCTGGCTACCACCTCGCTAGGCGAGCAGTTCTTCACAATGTTGTCCACCATCCTCTGGAAATCTGCCGGAACGTCAGCAGCAACCCAGCGCTCAGTTTCTAGCAGGAGTTTTATGTTTGTGAGGCGCTCCTGGTGGAACTGTTTGACCAGTTCTCTGCTTTGTCCGACCAGGGAGGCTCGGATCGGGTGGGAGGACCTGTTAGTAAGCTTCTCACAGGTCACTGCAAACGACTCCACTAGCCTGGATAGCTTTATGTGGTTATTTTGGTCTAATCTCTCGTGTACCGCGTTGTTTCTCTGTTGTCGTAGAGTTAGAATCTTGATACATTGTGATTGTGCTATCTCACATGAGGTTACCACAACGTCGTTACTTTCTGCCATCATCTAGTAAAATCAGAATCAGATAACAGGGAACACACTTCAGGATCTTTCTGAGAATTGAGAGTAGCTTTTGCATGATCCGAGAAACTTTCAAGCAATTCCTCTGGTACAGGCTTATTGGCAGCTGAAGTTATCACACATTTAATCAACTTGTTTGTGATACCCATTTTTGTTAAAAGTTTAGTGATTCCCTCGAACACCTTCTCTATTAACCTGACAGCTGTGACTGGTGGTAATGATCGGATCTGCTCGTCCAACTTCAGATCACCATCAAAGTTAACATCGTACAGCTGTTCAGCTATGATTTGTTTGATCTTTGCTTTCATCATCGTGTTGGATTCAGATTTGTATGTCTGTAGAAAGTTGAGGTTTTTCTTCCTTAACAACCCAAAAAGTACACATATGATTCTATCGGTATCGTCCTCTATCTCGGAAAACGTCTTGTCATCGATAGTAAGAGTGGACAGGGTGAACTTAACAAAATCAGCCTCAATCATGTTGTAGATCATTCTCTCCATTTCACAGAGCTGCACATCTAAATGTCTGAAGCTTTTAATACCGTTTAGATCATCATGGAGGACCTCCTGAGTTGTGGTGATGAGATCTAGAGCTCCAACAAAGTCAGATTGGCTCAGTAGGAGTTGGATTGTTGGTTGTGCTTGTTTCACAGTTGACATAAGGACAAGCTTCTCGTGGCATTGCTTGTAACGATCTCGGAGCCGATGAAGATGCAAAATCTGCAGGGACTTCTTGTTCAGACCAGTATCCACTGCTGATAGTTGACCTCTCAAATTCTGGATGTCGCTCCTGATGAACTTTGCATCTTCACTCAGTCGTTCTTGGCTATGGATTGTCTCAAAAAACTTGTGCGACTTGATATCAACTTGTTCGCCCAGTTTCATTTCTACCTTGTCGAGGCTGTGAGACAATTTTTCTTGCAGCAACTTTGTTGATCTTTGAGGTAGACCAGCATTTCCCACGAATGTTTTCCTGTCTTTCTGAACTTGAATTTGACCTTCAAATTGAGACTGTGGCAGAACATATTCAAAAGTATCTGGGTCGGAAAGACGGAAGTCGGTTTTCAGAAAGATCGGATCTATATCAACATTCTCACCGGACTTTTTTCTAGCTCGAGCAATCGCAGCCATTTCTTTTTCCTTAGCCCTGACATTTTTGTAAGGGCCAAGCAGGTACTTCAAATATGGAATAAAATGCTCAGGACGAATATCACCGGGAAGATGCTTGCTAGGCACCACAGGAGTAGGCACAAAATACGAACCCCACGTTCTGGTAAACAAATCAGCATCGTAATTCTTAGATCTCCTGGTTGGGTCATTTAGAATGGAAGTCATGTTGGACTGGTGACGCTCACGTTGCAGTTCAGGAACTGGTGACTCGGGCCGGGAGTTCTCAGCACGCAAACTTTCAGCTCGTGAACTCTCAGCGATACTACTGGTATAAAGAGAGCTGTCCAGAGAAGAGACTGATTGTCTACCATTGTCTACATACAGTCCACTGTCCACACTGTGTACCTTCCTTAGATCACTCAGGTTCCTAGTGGGGGAGGTAACTGGGGTACTTGATACACTGTCAACAGATAACCTGTGGTTCGAGGAGATGCTCGTAAGTGTTGGGGTTGTTTTCTGTACTGTCAGGCTCTCCACAGAGCTGGAGTCAGATTGAAACATTGGTACATTTCTAGGCAAGCTGCTCACCGAACCAAATGGGTTGAGAGAGTTCAAGGAGCCGAGGTTCTGGGAGCTGGCAGATTTTGAAGAAGATCCAAAGGGGTTGTGTGAACTGCTGGAAGTAGTGGAGCCGAAAGGGTTTTGTCCACCACCAGAAGCAGCTCTGTAGTGTCCTCTAGCAGGGAGTCTGGGAGAGGAGGGGGTCGAGGAGGAGGAGGAGTTGAAGGGGTTCCTCGAGTCTCCCTCTGAGGACTCGTCGAAAGGGTTGTTAGATGTCACATTTAGCTTGTTTTTCTGATTTGCAGTGGAGTAGTGGTGGGAAGTGTAGGAGAGTCTGTTGCTCATTGACAACACCTCATCCCGACACCTGGTGTCCTTGTTGTTTTTACATTCCTGAGATTGCACGTGGTTAATAAGTCAGGAAGTTAATTAATGGACAGCAAATCCATACTGGAAATTCAAGTTGGAATGTTCAAAGCAGTTGATTGTGCGGAGATTCAAGTTACGTATGTAAAGATGTAAAACAGCTTATAATAATGATTTTCTGTAACTCGTAATGAGAATCAATGTACAATCTAAGCGGACACAATGAAGACACACTCATATATTGTGGAAATGAACAACATTCAGTCAGATGTGGTTTACCTCGATTGTCAGAAAAATTACACCAAGATCTCAATTTTCAGGTCAGCTTTGCTACCTTATTAACGACACGCAGTGAGGTTATAGTAAACCGAGCTAAATAATATATAAGTTACTACTTATTAAAAGCAATGGTATGCAGCTGTAAAAATAAAGTTTACAATATCCTTCTAAATAAAATGAACTCAATTAGCTTAAATAAAATATCGATGAAATTAGGTCAACACTTGCTAAAAATTCTGTAGACCTAGACCATCATCTATAAATTAAAACAAAAATACATTATTTTAAAGTGAGTCAGTTTAATTTAACTTTAAAAACGATATAGTTTAACAAGTCGATACGAATTGTGACATTTGAATAAAAATATTTAGCGGTGATTAAGATTACTACAGTTGTGAAAATAGAGAATTTCATGAAAGTGATGATCTATGTAAATAATTAAATTTAACTATCCTATTGTTAACTAAATCTAACACTTAATTCAGAGCTGTAAATCAAAATGTATCCTGGGTCACATGATAATTTGAATGAATTATAACAGTCCGCTGGTTATCCTAGATTAAAAAACTGTTGACCTACACAAAACAGGTCAACAACTTCTCCTGTAACTGAGCAACTGAGACAGGTAAAGAGAATCGAGGAGTAAGTTTCACTTCCGAGCGAGGGGTTATTTTCACTTCCGAGGGGTAAGTTTCACTTCTCCCAGCACGTCGTCAAAAGGTGTACAAGTCCTTCCATAACATACAAGGGTGACCTAGATGATCAGATGATGGTGACTAATCGTAGAGATTGGTAGTTGAGTGAGAGCTACTGGTGGGGCGGCATCTACTTGCCGGGACAGAGGTTGTTGGGGAAGAGAAGATAGTTTCCTTCTCTGTACTGGTGCTCTTTGTTCTCACAATACTCGTACCTGTCCAGGTGGTGCGTTAACTCTGCTAACAGAATCAGAAGCTAGATGTTAAGCATAGTAGTCAGATAGAAATATGTATATCAGGAGGAATAACTTCAGACAGGGCCACTAAAAGCCCAAAATTAAAATATAAATCATAGGGGGCAACTCACCTCCATCCCATGTAAGCTTTACACTTAATACAGGACAAATATCTGACAATATTAGTGTCATCCTCAACCGCAGCCATTATTCGTTCAGACACGTGACTTTCCTTGACATTAAAGCCGGCACTAAAGAGGAAGCCTTGACCATCCACAAGGGTCTTACACCGGTCAATAAAGTCCTTCTTTGCAGCTATGGGCGTTTTGCACTCCTTGCAGCAGTAGATGTGGTTACCGCCGGGATGGACTATAAAGAGCTTGCCCATTTTTGCTGAGAACTTTGACCCCCTAGATTGAGAAGTGCATGGTTAATGTTAGTTTCGGTAAGTTGGATTGATTTTATTAGGGCCGGGTGCATTCGTTATAACGTAATTTCTGACGAAGAAGGGGTTTCTGAATTATGACCCTTTAGGCCTTTATTATTAGATTAATTGTTCGTGAAAATTTTTACGGAAGGGTATAAATTGTCAAGAAGTGATATCGTAATTATAATCCCCGTAAATATTTACGTGAACGGCCCTTTATTTTAAAATCCAAATATACATCGAATCGGAATGTTAACACTGATGTTTTCTCGTAAATTTGATTAATTTTATTTTATTCTTGAATTTAGTCACGATGTTGCAATGTAATTAATTAGTAATGGAACACGAGGTCAAAACATTTAAACGCAGGAGTTTGTTTTGGTAGAATAAATCTGTTTATCAAAATCTATAAAAACTATAAAACTATTTACAATAAAAGAATTGGTAAGAAAATATTTAGGTTTAGTATTATATACAATACGTTCCACATGCTTACATATTGTAATATTATATTAAAGACATAATATGTTTTAGGAATTAACATATTACATTTAAATTAACTTCACATGCTATTACCAGCTATAAATTACAAATTCGCGACATAAAAATGCTTAAAAATCTAATTTTAAGTAAATTATTGTAAGTATTTAGCAAAATTACACACGAAAATATTTTTAAGGTTTATAAATTCGTTAAAGCTACTTGGATTACCAAACAATTTAAAGAAACACGATAATATTGATGAATTTAGCCAAATCACCTACTCAACTCATCTACTCAACTTATCTGAATAATAAATTAGAATAAAAACCTGTTTTATAAATCGTTAGATTGAAATTAATGTATAAAAGAAATTCAAGCTCAAATTATTAAGTCCCTCCTTAATTTCAACAGTCCGTTACGATTACCGTAACCTATATCTCAAGTCAAGCTTTCTTTGCAGAGCTAACACTTGACGATTTCCTTTGTTATTCTGCCTAAAGAGAGAATCTCATTCATGGTTTCCTTGCACGGATAGGAGTAGAGCTCACAGTCTTCCTTGAAGAACTGGTTGTACAGAGCCTGAAGATCATGTCTGGGGATGGTCTGGTAGTACCTGTGGAGACACTCATCTGTCTTACCGTGCACATTGAGAGACATCCTGAAATCCAGGTTTAGATAAGACCGCTCTATCACACTAAACAGGTAGCCACTCTCTTCGTTCAACTTCTCCAACCGGAGAATGTTATAATCGATGGAACACGGCGCACAGCTCTGATAGTACGGCATTATGTGGGGATCCATCCCTCCGTTCACAGCCCATTTGACAAACTCTCTAAAAGTAGGACCAGGTGGGTTTAAATAAGGGTTGTTATGTACGTCTTCTGGTAGGAGATTCATTTGTTGGTGATCTTGTATCACTTTCCTAGCAGCCATTAGCAAGGCTTCCTTCTCAACATCAGTTACCTGGTGGCTGACACTCCTGTACTTCTTTACTATCTCCTCTCCTTGTCTCTTCCTGTAGAAAGGATACCACACACCCAATTCCCACTTGTCTCTGTACGCACTTAGGAATCTAGCTAGGGGATTTCTTACCGTCATAAAGGGTAATCCCAGCTCTTCCTTCATTACCTTGTTATAGTGAAACTCATCAGGCTCCGCTGAGAGGTATCGTGTAGTGGGGTTGTTCTTTCTCATTGTTGATATGTCACAATCCTCATAGATGTGGTGGTTGAAGTTTGCTTTGCAGAAGAGGTCCAACCAGTTGGAACTTCCTGCTTTGAAAGTCGGACACCACAACAACCCGATGGACGGAACATCAAACAGTTCCTGCGGTTTGGTAACCGTTGCTGCTTGATTTTCCGGAACATCACAAATCCTCCTGACGTTGTCAGATCTCTTTTCAAACCTCAGTTGTATAACGTGCTCGACATGGTTAGCTGCAGTAGCAGTAGGAATGACAGTAGCAGTGGGTTCCTCTGTTGACGCCTCAACAGCATTACCTGCCATTAGGTCGGAGGGAAACCTGATGTTTCCGTTAAATATGGCCATGTTGACAACAATCAGAGCGGCTAGGGCAAGTATCTTTAGTGCTACCATGATTTGGTGTCTTGTGATGCAAGACATCGTAGTGGGTGGCCCTGTCTACATAAGAAATCCTTAAACCTGAATAGAGAATAATCATGATATTATCATCTTACGCTTGAATTGATAAAGTTATAACTTCTGATGAAATTTCAATCACGATACTTTCCCCAGTAAGGTTATCATCACAATGAGCATTTAAATCAATTATCCTTCGAGAGTCAAGAAATTACCAAATTACATAAACTTTTAAAGTAAAACCATAACTATTTTTGTGAAACTGAAACATCATAAAATTTGACAAAGAACTGTAAGTGAACAACAAACAAATTCAAAGTAAAATCTACTCTAAATGAAAATACATAGATCTTCAACAATCCCACTTAGCAATATCATACAACTTAAATAATCTCAATGTGTTACTGATATTATGCATTAGTAACTTTTAACATGCATAGCTGTATGAAATGCTTTTAAGACTATTACTTCTTGGCAGAAATAACTCATAACTGCAACGTAAACTAAGATACACTATGTACATTATAAATCTTTCTTTTCAAACTACAATTCAAAGGATACTTATATCTGTTTTTAAGTTGTTCTAATTGTTCAAACATGACCAAAAAGTTGCGGTAAAATCGTCAAAACCAGCAAGTCAATTATGATTATAGATACTTTTTCAAACATTTTACTTTGATAACATACTGAATAATGTACATGTCTTATTCAAAACCCCAGAAATATAAACTTAGATGGTTAATTCGGTCCTTGGTAAGCGTCGTATCCAAAGACCTGGTCATATTCGACGATGAGCGCACGCTCCAAAATGAACTTCCCTTCTTTATATCTCTGTGTGTCTTCGTCCGCGTATTCATAAGTCCACCCTAACTTCGTCTGAAACATAGTGGTGTGAAAAGTAATAGAAACTAGTGTGTGTTTGGAGCAATAATTTAATCGAACTATGAGCAGTGCAGGATTAGTCGTTCAGTATGAAACATGTCCGGTCGGGTGTAGTCCCGGGGAGCACAGCGAATTTAATCTTTGGTTGTTTTGCAATAGTAGATTGTCTTCTTTAAATCTTGTCTTCTTATCTTGTCTAAGGTAGTCGGTTCCGTAATGTCGCTATCTTGATAGTCTGAATTGTGGTCGTGTCTGTTAACCAACCAGTTTAATCTGACGGAGGTGGTTGTCTCACGGCTGTCAAATCTCCTCAATTCCGTTTATTTCAGCGATAAGAGCCCTCTCCAGTATCACTTTCCCTTCTTTGTACCTCTGTTGCTCTTCTGTTGCATACTCATACATCCACCCAACACGACTCTAAATTAGTGTTACTTTTCTCATCATCATTCCTGAACCACTGTTTCAAAAAGAGAATCTCTGCAAAAATGGCACAAAAAAGAACGCAATGTAAACCCTGTCAACAAAAATTCGATTAAACAACTCACCTTGCACTTTTTGCAGGACACATCTCTAACAATATGTCTTCCAGTGAGCATAACTCTGTCCTGTTTCTCGCTCATAGCCAAGTTAACCACCTTCTTAAACAGGAATGCTCGCCCAGTTGAACCAGTGAACCTGGTTGAGAGGAGATTAGCTCTGTTTGTGAGGACGGTGCTGCATTTAGCACACGAGTACAACCGCGTACCACCTGGGTGTTCCAGGAACATCTTACCCATTGTCAGGCTGGAGTAGTTGCAGTTTGTTAGTTTAGTTTAACTATATAAACTTAGTTAAGTTTGATTATAAGTTGTTATTTACTTTAATTAATATGGCTATAGAACTGGTGTACTAGTGTCCCAGACTGTCCCGTATAGTGCACAAATTTTAATGATTCACGAAGATTATTAGCTACGTAACATTCAACAATTATATATCACGTTCAATTATTGAATAAGGAATGCTTTTAAAATATTCTGAAGAGGTAATCATTCAACTAATCAACATTCAAGATAGCAATTCTGCACAATATCACCAATTAATATATATACAACAGCTCAAAACAACAACATTCGACAAACCATAATCTTTAATAATCAACGATGTCACAGTTCAAAATAAAATAAATTATCCCAGCGAAACACACAGTCGGGAAATTAATCATAATTTAATACTCGTAATAATTTTCTTTTTTATTCTTTAAAAAAACTTAGCTTAAAGATTGATTATGAAAAATGGTAATGAGTCCTAGTTGCCATGACATTTCAAACTATGTTAACATTATCAATTCAAAGTTATCGTAATATTATCAGAAGAGCATCATCATAAGAAATAGCTTAGTTAATGCAATATTTCAATCAGTAATCACTTAAATTAACACTTACCACGGAAAAATATTATTGTAATATGTGAACGATATTTATACAGCGATCAATTTATTGATACAAAATATATAAGTTAACCGAAAAATTGCATGAAAACTGTCGGTCAATGTTTAAACTAATTCTAATACTTGTAGTGCCTACCTAACATGACATGGTGCTTATTATAGGAATAAGAAAGAAAATATAAAGAATAATAATACTTGACAAAGGGCAAACAATCATAAGGCTCTAAATCCAACAGCATAATTTATATATTAAAGTAACAATAACGGTATTATATCCCTTTTAACTAAACTATCAAACAACAGCAAAATAGCTTTTCCTTACGTGGAAATCTCCCAATATTTATTTTGATTCATACAATTTTTATCAAAAATAAACAATTCACTAGGAAACTTTCACAGTAAATTGCTTGCAAACTACCCAAAAATGTCATTTAAATCTAGAGCAGCCTGATTGGTATTGGCTTTATTGGTTGGAACGATCGGCACTTTGATAGGAACAGCTTGGGGCTTTGACATCTGATTCAAGGATGGCTGAGAGGGTTTTGCTCCAAACAGACTGTCCAAGCTATTTGATGCATTGGACTGATTTCCCCGGTTACTGGGAGCCATCATACTAAGTTGTGTAGAAAAACCAGATGACATATTATGAGCTGATGAAAATGCAGGTGCCATGCTGGGACCTGTATTCATAGCCAAGTTACCAAAGGAATGAGGGTTCATTGCTGGCATTCCAGAACCAAAATCTGACGAATTGTTATAATTGGTGTTAGCAAAATTGTTTCCAAAGGTCGTATTCATACCAGTCATCTGGTTGCCAAAATTGTTACCAACTGGAGCACTAAACTGTGATGTAGTATTTGCCATGGGCTGGCTAGGCATAGCTGTCATCATTCCCGAAGAAGAATTAGTAGCGTTGGAACTCAGGGACAACTTGGGGAAATCTGCAAAAGTATTTGACTTTGGAGGCTGTTTTAAAATTGGAGGATTCTGCACAGCACTCCCTGGTCTACTACCAGACTTCATCATGTTGGCATCAAAACTAGATGCATTGCTAGAAGTAGAACTCTTTCTTGAAATGTTGCCCATCATCACATCTGGAGCGAGTTTATCAAAGTTCGAAGATTTTGGTGCAGCAGGTTTTGAAGACACCAGGGAGGGACTGTAAGAAGCAGGTGCTGCAGTGGGTTTGGGTACATCAGCCACTATGTTCTTAACTTGCTGAGAACCAGTGTTATTACCAAACATTTGATCCATTTTTGTCACCAATTCCCCAACTTGTTTGTTTTCCACAACTTCTTTGGAAAAATTTAAACTTTGTGCCTGTTCTACTTTATTTTGTTGTAATTGCTTGAGTTTGCTGAGTTGCTCACTTTCCACTTTACTAATCATGCTTTTAATGATGGTCATACAAGTTCCAAACTGCTGCACATTAAGCGAAGGAGACACCAACATCGGAAATAAAATAGGGATGCACCTGTTTGCTAGAGTATCTCTGTCAAGCAGATTTGAAGAGTGTTTCAAAAGTTTTTGGTAGATCCCAACGATACTCATGAGAACTGCAGGCTCCCTGGAAGGCACCTGTTCCAATAGAGGCAATATAATGTCACCAGTCAATGTCCTATCCACCAAATTACTATCCAGAACTTTAGCAACACATATCAGACTTCCAACTCTGATTTTCAGAAACCTAGTCTCAAGGCAGCATGTCTTGATTTTAGGCAACAGCTGATGACGCAATGTAGAGTAGTCCAATAGATCCACGATTTCAGGTAAAAGTTTGAGAACAGTCTCTTGCAATTCCACCATGGGATTCTCTAGGCTTCTAAATAAAACAGGCATCACAAATAGCTTGGCATCTTCAAGTTTAGACTTACTTATCAACAGATGAAGGTTCTGAATTACAATCAGAGATATTTGGGGCGGATCATTAATTGTAAAGATTGGCTTCAGTCCAGGAAAAATAAAACTCTGGAAATCTTGGCTTTCCAAATCAGTGCCGATGTGGAAAATGTTTGGCAAAATGAAAGGAATTAGATCAACTTCTTTACAGCACTCAAACAGCTGGGTAAGAATCCTCTTTTTGCGAACCACAAGAGGCAAGCGAGGAAGAATACCTGGAAGCTCTTTAAAAAAAGCTATCTTTTGAGTCCTGTTTTTAAGCATCAAATGATCAAGAAACTGCAAACTTACAGCACCAATATCACTGAGAAAGTTGGATTGTTGAAAGGTGCCAACTTGTTGCCGTGCAGAGGGACCGTTGGACACCAATTGTTTTAAGTCACTAGCAGCCTCTTCTGGAATGCCACTAAGTGAAGATAATGGCATCTGGGCAATATCTTCAGACCTTCTCAGAGCACCTCGCAATGAGTCTGCTTTTCTCAGAGACGTTCCACGGTTAAACAGAGCATAGATAAGACACCCTACACTATACATATCAGCTGAGGTACCACCAAATTTAGTTGATAGAAGCTCTGGAGCAATGTAATCAATGTTAGGCTGACTAAAACCAGGCTCGTTGTCATAAAACATAAACTCTGGACTAGGAGGTTCAGGACTTTCTTCAGATACAGCACTGAATTCCAAGCCAAAGATTTTCCATAATCCTTGACCATTCATAACTATTGTGTCCAAACATAAATTCCTATGACACCTTTTCAAATCATTGTGTAAAAATGCTATCCCATCTAACAATTGTAATATTCCGTATCTGATTTCAACATCAGTGATAGAATTGCATTTGATAAGATTGGACAAAGCATTACTGCATGGTTCAGTAGCAAATGCTAGGCTTTCTCTACTTTCTTCAAGGGGGTGCTGTACAGTAAGAAACTTTGGATGGCGGACTTTAGTAAGAAGCTTGACACCATTTTTATATTTTTCCAAAGCAAAGTCTTTGTTGCTTCTAGACATTTTATCAAAAATCTTTTTTGATAATACAAACACAGAAACTTGTTCTCTTGTTGATCTTTTAACAGCATTATGAATAACCCAGGGTCCAGCTTGAGTAACAACTTCTAATATCTCAAAGTCTTTGATGAGAGGATTTGTAACCACCACATTGGCAATTTTGTTCAGAAAATCCATCCTGAATAGGGTGAAATATTACACTGATGTCAAGTCAATAGTCGACAAAGTTAAAATCATTCAATTTTGTTGCCTTAAACGTTTTAAAAGGCATGCCTTTAATATTTGTATAAAATGCTTGATTGCATAGTAATTAGTAATTGGTTAAATTATTATTAACTCATTGATTCAAAGAATGATTTTTAAATCGATGCTAAATATGCTCCGATAACTGAACATTTAAACTTGAACCATGAAAACTGAGATGATAAATTTTTATTCATATTAAATATTTTATGTACAAGTTTTGATATCAAAAAACAAAACTATTGAGATTCAGTTGATACCCAAACGGAATGGATTCCTAAGTCGCCAATGTGATTTATCGACTATAGTTCTTCTTGGTATTGCACATTGAGGATAAGTAACAATGTCTTTGTAAATCATCTCTGCACTGGGATTCTCGTTGACATTATCGAAATCAACTGGGTCCCTTTCCTCAATATCAATGGATTCAGCTGTACTAATAACATCTTCACCAAGTTTTGAAAACACCTCTGAATGAACATCTAGCAAATCATCTGATTTAATACCATAGATTGACAATTTAACCAGATGACCTTGATCTTTTTTACCCTTTACTGTATATTCAAACTTTTTCTCCTTTGCCATAGGGCGAATGAATTGTTCAACTGCTTCGACCGTTTTCACTGAATTTTCTGGAAACAAGATGTTATATCTTTGGTTATGTGATAGCTCAGCAGTAACATAGTGTCTTTGTAAATTCTTTAATGAGCTCAATGATGGTCTGAATATCTGTCTTTGCATTCCTAAAAAGAAAAATGATTTAAAGTACTGTCAAGAGTACTCTACAAAAATATATTAAACTGATCATAACATGATCTTAAGCCATACCCAATCCCAGGCTGTTAGAAATATAGTTAATAGTTAATAGTTAATAGTAAATATAGTTAATATAGCACTATGTTTACAGTATGCACTGAATGGGTATCCTAGGAAGTTTCTTGAACTTTTAACAGGTACCCCTCCTCATTTAAGTACGGATCCATCGGATCTAAAACTACTCCCTAGCCTATACTAGCTGATAATAAGAACTAACTGTTAATAATTAACAAATTTTAGCATTCAATCGCGGATTTTCAAATTCAATATAAAAATTCAATAAAAATCTTGGAAAAATTTCATAAAAACCCTTTGTAGTTATAGTGAAAGTAGCCAATTCAATTTGTTGGCTCTAAATTAATATCTAAATCTGATATTTTAACTATACTACCACTACCACTTTTTATCCCTCTTTCTCGATTGCAAGACTCTTCAAAAAAACACAGAAAACTGGATTACTGATCACTAATTCAGTTATATTGAAGAGTAGTGTACTGCCATAGACAAAACGATAGGGTGACTAAGTTAAGTTGAATAGGATATCCTTATTCAGTATTAAATTATGAAATATGAATTGTTAACTCAAAACTTTTAAAGAATTTCGTCAGCCTCTATTTATATGCAGATCTTTGATAGGGTTGTCGTACATTGCCTCAAGATCAGATAACAGGGAAGCTTGCCAGGCCTTATCGTAGTTGATTGGGTATGAGGTCACATGTCACATGATTATGAGGTCACATGACCTGCAGCTTGGCTTTCCGCTCATTGTGAAAGCATGCTTGTGAATGTAGGTATGTAGTGTACTAACAGTGTCTCTCATGACACCTAGGTAACAGAGCTACAGACAAAAACCCGGTTTGTGATATTTTAAGATATGGAGTTGGGATTATTACAGTGTATTGAATTTTACAGGTCTGTAAAAATTAAGTTAGTGATACTATAACGTGGAGTTAAACATAATTCTGAGTTTGAACTGCCACAAAGTTCGAACTGCCTAACTCGGAATTTAAAACCCCATGCTGGGTACTTGCATGTATTATGATACGAGAAGACCAATACTTTATATGACTTTAAACAATACTTTGTACATAGGGATTGAAATATAAAAGAATCCAGCTCAAAAATAACAACAAATTGTAATTTTAAATATAGTTAAGGTTCAATTGATCAAACGTATTATAAACATTCAACCAAAGTGTTGCAATTGGCAAAGCACAATACACAATTAACAAAAATACTCCATTGTATTGGTACGAATATTATTTAAAATATGCGCGTGCCGCACTTTATGCTATATCACCAAAAACACATTTAATTTGGTACGTATAATTGGTTTATAATTTTTATATTTGAAACTAAGTTGAAATGTGACATGACAACGAAATTGAATAGGAAATCGTTCCAAATCATTTTTGAAGCACCTTAATAAAAAGTATTTGTTGATTTAATTTATTGTGTACATACAACATACTATTTAACAAATTTTCTTGAACTGAAAGCTATGATCAAGCTTAACGCGCGCTATGTTTATAGTTTTTATCGAAAGCACATCCAATTTTATATGTATTGTGTATGAAATATGTTTACAATTTGCTTGAATCTACACTAAGTTGGCCTGTCTCGACCAATGTCAGACAAGGAATCGTTTAAGCATTGCTTGTAGTCAGTTTCGAGGCACCTCATGCAACAAATGCTATTACTACTAACGTTACTGGGCGGCGCTCAGTCTGTCATTCCACCAAATTTCACTTAGCCATGTGTCTACGCGTACTGCGTGACGCACTTGTTTGCGAAAGGGCTATGGTTAAAGCAACCGCCGAATCTTTATTTGGGCTGAGTGAATTACGAGCTCCATCGCCCTGAAAAAAAGTGCGAATGCTTATTGGATGTTAGAGCGCACGTGACTCGCATTCACGTGATCGTTCAGAACCAATTACAGCCGCGCAAAAGATCACGTGTACGCCAACTACCAATAAAAAAGAAGTGACGTATGCGCTACAAGAGCCGCGCACTGAGTTAGATTGTAAAATCTGATTATTTGATTGTCAAATCGCATAAACGCGCCTATTTGCGCGTTTTAGAGGGTTCAATTACACCAGGCTATGTTTATGAACATAATAGCCTGGGGTCCTCAGGTAAATACTAACGCTATTGTGCTTTTTATGGAGAAATTAGACAATAGCATTTTCAATAATCAATGATAATGTTATTCTTTTTCAAAAGTATTCGAATAGTGATTTATATAAATGCATAAATTGATTTTCTCCGTTATTGGCATTGCAGTGTTCAAGATCAACGACTTGTACTGCGCCATCCGAAGGACAAAAATTATTTTGATTGACGATGTCAATCCGTCGAGATCGTTGCTTTGCGTCGATGCGAAGCAAGAATGCTAGTTTGCGCGGCTTACTGGGCCGCGCTCAGCCTGTCATTCCGCCAAATCTTTATGTTAATGAACATAATAGCCTGGGGTCCTCAGGTAATGCGCGGCGCGTCGAAGCGGCGAAGTCCTCCAAAAATTATTAAACCTTAAAATTATTTTGCTTCTGAAATAATTTAAGGCTCTAGTAATTAATAAATGTAATTGTAAAATAACAATTAAATAAACCCTGCGCGCGGCGCTTTCAGCAGCACTGCACCTAATAAGGATTTCTTTGTAGCGCGATGCACTACTGGGTCGCGCGCGCATCAAATAATGCTTCTCGCAACCACGTATGCAGATCGGCGAGATGCGAAGGATTGACATCGTGAATCAAAGGATTTCTTAACAATGTGTGGCTGTGTGCAGCGGGCCGTATATATGCATGGAATTGAAATTCCATACGTATTCGCGCGCCGTTTGCAGCAGTTAGTAGCAGTTTGTGGCATTTTCTTTGCACTTAATTGCCTCTTTTGTGAATATGTATTGATTGTGTTGTGATAAATAAAATTTTTTTTTTTTTCAAAATTTTTGTTTTTTGTTGAACAAATTTAATGTTACAAAAGATTTAATTTTGCAATTCATAAAGTTTAAACGAAATTACTGTAATACACGCAATTTGGGGAGTGTGCTTTCCATGGAAATATTTGCCTCGCGTTCGCGTTGTAAGCCCATGGCTTTCGCTCCAATATTGGTGAAATACTAAGCTATTAAGTGAAATGACAATGCCTGGGGTCACGACGTTACAAAAATAAAATGACTTGCACTTTTACGCCATTTTGCATTTCACAGCAAACTTAAAACTAGTAAAAACAACAGTGCGCGCCTTTCAGAACCTGCAAAGATTTAACTTGTGTTCAGTCTTAAACTTCATAATTAATCGTTGATTATACGCACATTTATAAATTTATAATTTACCACAACGCGCGTCGTATTTGACTTATCGACGGTCTTGCATCGATTGTAATATTCGAAGCAAATATTTTAAAAGCATCACCTGTTCAATGCAAAGTCCTTCTTGAAAGATTAAATTTAAAACCAAAACAGTGAGCAGCAGTGAGCAGCATTGAGCAGCAGTGAGCAGCAGTGAGCAGCAGTGAGCAGCAGTGAGCAGAAGTGAGCAGCAGTGAGCAGCAGTGAGCAGCAGTGAGCAGCAGTGAGCAGCTGCAGTGAGTAGCAGTGAGTAGCAGTTAGCAGCAGCTACTTTGCACTATAGTCCTCCTGTGTACAATTCATGCAAAACAAATATATTTTCAGATTGATAATTTTTTAAAATTTTTGCTTTATTTACTTTGATAATTCACTTTATACATATTATTGATAACAATATTGTTTTAAACGCAGTAAATTGTCCAGAAACAAGTTTAGCCAGGAATACTGTCATGATTGTCAAAAATTAGGCCTTTTTTATATCAGTTTTAGCAAAGTTGACCCTGATAAACCACTCTTAATTACTTTAAACCACTTTAAATCGATTCAGAGGTCGAACACACGTCAAAATAGATGGGTCTGATTTTGGGATATAGAGCAGAAAATTCCCGCAACATGACAGCATCTACTTATTGACGAATTTAAATCTGATAAATTTCCCCCACCACACACCAGAATCTAAATCTATCATTTAAAAAAACTTTTATTAAATACAACATTTTCATCTACTTGGTATGTCTTTTTTGCTTCCCGAACTTGTTGACAAGAGCAACACCTACTACAAAACACTTAACTGTGATCGGTCATCCAATGAAGAGCAGATATTAACAGAATACAAACAACTGGCCAAGATATACCACCCAGACTGTGAAACTGGCAGTAAAGAGAAGTTTCAGGTTAGAAGAAGAGTTTGATATTTATTTAGTAGACTGCGAATAATCTACAATAGAGCCTATTTACTGTTTACCGGGTACCTGTAATACATACCAGGCATCTAAGTTGTGATACATTAGTCAACACATTACTTTGCTTTGCCAGTCCCATGAAAATGAGAAAAAACGGTGTTACAATGCAAGGGTCCTGGAAGTAGAGAAAGGAAGCCGTTAGTTTTCTCATTGTCTGGTGGAATGGGTGGTGAAGCTGAAAGACTAGTAAAGAAGCTGGCTAGTAAGATGGAATACCACACAGGGCAGAGGTACTCAGATGCTGTGGGATACATTAGGAAGCGCCTTCGTTTAGAAATCTTAAGAACGACGGTAATTTCTCTCCGGGGAGACAGAGGGGCGAGAAAGAACTTTGTCAATATAGACAATTTAGATTTGAACTTGGAGCCGCAAGGCCAAGGGTGATTTTCAAAATATTGAATTTTTGAAGGGTTATTTTTATATAGGGTCATTGTGACATTATGTGTATACTGTTTGAAACAATTTATTTACTTTGCTTTGCTTTAATACAGGATTTTACACATGATTTACACAGGATTAGATAAAATTGTAAGCCTGATATAAAAATAACTATCATGAGTATACCATAATTGCACAATGTGATTTGTGCTTTCTGAGTTGCATATTGTCATCTCATATCTCTTTTTAATCAGTTAATAAACTATAAAACAACCATAAAATATCTATGCATAAATTAATTAAATTTCAGGACATAGAAGAAGCCAAACGGATTTTGATTTGTCCCTCTCTGAAGAAAAGTTATGATAGTTGGCTTGACAGCGGATTATCCGTATCTTTCGAGACATGGAAAGAAAAGTCCACTACTAATATGCATTGGGCCAAATCAGAAAGTAATACATACAGGTATACCATGTTATTTCAATGAAACAATAAGTTTAGCTGTACTATTCAATCAAATAGCTTCTTCAATCTTCAACTTAATTACTCCAGTGGCTTCTTCGTGGTTAGGTGATGATAGCATGAAACATATATACCTACAATTTAGTTGCAATTAATGTTTGAATCTTGTACAGGTTGATGAATCATTCACAAGGTGAAAACAGTTCTAAATCAGCAGACCTTAGATGGGAAAGTCACTCAGATGAATCCATCAAATTATTTCGTAAAGGCAAACTTTGATATTTTTCTTACTGCTAGCTTACATTTGCTTTTAATTAAACTATTTTTGATGTATGAAACAACATTAATTTGGTGTTTTGAGTTGTCACAAAATTGTGTGAGTATTTTGCAAAACGTTTTTCAGCTGTTTGTTGCAATCATTTTATTTCATCATGTACTTAAATGTGCTTTGAATTGTGTTATAACAATATGTGATAATGAGAATGATATTTATTTATTTTCAATGCTATTTATTTGTTATATTCAAGTATTATAGATTTGGTTTGCTGTATATCGTGTATTACACTGTATATTTTACCATTTGGACCTCTCTTTTCTCCAGAATCAATTTCGTTTGTGACAGTTAAATTCGCTCTGATGATAAGTCGACTGTTGAATTACAGTTGACCAAATCCAATTACTTTATTAGCCAATGTATTGTACATGTAAGTTGTAAAGATCTCTATTGGAGCCATGGACTCAAGCAGGTCACAAAAAGAGAAAATGGATAAGGCCAAGGAGGTTATATCAAACATACTAGATGAGGAAAAAGAATACAAACTCCGTGAGCTTGACATGATTAATGAAAAACTGCAGCAGACTGAAGAACAGCTTGACAAATTAAGGTACATTTATTTTGTTTTTATATTTTATTAATATACTGATAAACCTTAAACAATTCAACGATTGTAATTTACTGGTAGTATTGCTATATCCATTGTGGTTTACAAGTACCGAAACTTAAAACTGCCCCATCTGCAGGTCATATTTATTAGGCTGCTTGTATACTGACCAACCTGAAGACACCAAAGTTACTGTCCCGAAAAGATATCCAATCTTCGAGGTAACAATAGTGTGTTTCGCCTGTGTACCATTTGTTTCTATTTATTCAAATAAATGCATGTAATATAAAACCTTAAATGGAATTATTGAATCAAATTTCAATAAGGTCTAAACCAGAGATCAGGAAATTGCTTTTGTAGAGAATACACCTATGGATTGTTTCGATTAAAATTGATTGCTATGATGCAGGATGAGGTTGGAGTTAGAACTAGGAGAATTATCATCGGCAATGTCAGTAAATATATCCCTGCTGATCAGCGAGACAAAATGAGTGACCAGTAAGTTGGGGTAGACTTCAAAGTTCAACATCTTAAAAAATTATCATCTTTCAATTTACGCAGAATATATTGATAGGTAGAGCTGTACTGTATGCCTTTTAAAACTTTGACATATTTTCATTAGATGAATTAAGCAACTAAATGTGGAAATCAATTATTAATCTTGTGTAATCCCCAGGTTCACCTACAAGTGGTTACTGTATGTACGAACGCCACCAGGGCAGCCCGCTATTGAAACCTTTGTATCAAGAGTGGTCTTCAAACTAGATCCTTCTTATATTCCTAATGATATTGTGGAGTTGACTGAGGTTTCTAACTTAACAACTTATATTTGTTACTTTAATGACGATTCTAATAATTGATATAGACTGTGGTGTGAAATAATCTAGCCAGAAAGTCCTAAACAAAAAATAATTCAATCCTGGAATATTCTGTAGAAAATATTAGCTCATATTCGTATTAATTAAGTGAGCTGAACTTCTCTCGTATTGAAGTTCAAATTTGGCTTTCTCTTTGTCGGCTCATAAACACCTTTTATGTATGTCTATTGTCTTCACTAGGCTCCGTTTGAAGTAAGAAGAAGAGGTTGGGGAGAGTTTCCAGTACAAGTAAAGATCTTCTTCGCAAACGAAGACAAGGAGATTGACATTACTCATCAGCTCAACCTTGACACAACCTTCTCAGGGGTGCAGACTCCTGGAGCTGAAACGGTTAGATACATTTTGATTTGTACTCTATAGCTCCATTTACTATTAATTATATAAATCAAATAATTGTTTGTAGTGTAAAGAATAGTGCTTTTTAAATGTAAATGTATAATATATATGTATATATAATATTCACGTTAACGTTTAACTGTGCAGGTGGTTGACGTCGAATTTGGTTGTTATGCTGACGAAATGTCAAGGAATCGCATAAAGGGAATCAAGCGAAGCAATGGTCGAACTCAACCTCAATTGATTACGTAGCTGTTATTATTGACTATTGTTAGGGTGAGCTTAAGTACGCTGTTTTAAAATTAAATTATTAATCTAACATCAGACAGTTTTATGATGTTTTTTAGTGATATAACCAACGAATCATTATAAATAAATAAATGTGTGGTCATGTAAACAAATGTTTTTTAAAGATACGTATTTAAATCTTCATGAAGTTTGGTTGAATATTTTGTGTACCACAATAATGTAAACTGCAAAGATTATGAACTGAGATGTCCTTATCAGAATTGGTGAGGTGCAGTTATACTAAAAGCCAACTCTTGGGTTGCATATTTATGAAGAAATTCTGTCAGCATGAGATATCTGAGTACTTTTACTGCAGATGCAATATTTCTGTAGGTACGAATATTTTACTCATCGATCTTGATTATTCTTTAGCTTGAATAATAATGTGTTGTAGAAGTATAAAGATACTATCTGGGCTTCCATGTAATTAAAGGTGTCAAATGATCGAATTATTGCAGCTAAATTTGAAAAATAAACGAAATGTTTCTGATCTTTGAATGGTTCATGCTAGTTATAATATTATGTAACCTAAGCCATTAAAATTCACGTAATTTGAATGTATTGAACTCTAAAAGGTCACCGAGGATAACCAGGGAATTAGGGATAAAACAATTATATTTTCTGGGTCAATTTGATATCTTAATAAGTACAAGCTTCTTAAATTTATATAATTCGGTATTGTTAAATAAAACCTTTACAGCCATGTCAGGAAAGTTGAGTCTTGACAGAGATTTCACACGGTTTCTCAACGACCCAAAATTTCCCTACAAAGCGACAGTTTGCATTGGAAATGAACGTATTTTGTGTTCAGGAGCATTGCTTGCTCAACAAAGTTCAGTTCTCGAGAGAAAAATGAGAGAGGATGATGGTGTGCTGATGTTTGAAGAGATGTTGGACGTGGAAAATAGCAATAAAGTTATAAGCGATTGTATCAACTACTTGCATGGTGCTGATCTTTTATTCACACTCAAAAATATTGAGGCTGTTTTAAAGTTTGCTAGTTGGTACAAAGTTAATGATTTGTTTGGAAAATGCTTATTTTGGCTCGAAGCTTACTTAGCCAAGTCAAGATCAGCGAATATTGCGATGGATTACCTCAAAGTTTCCAGCCACTTGGGCTCCAATGAGTCTACTGGCTTAAAATCAGTTATTAGCAAATTTATCAGGTCCGATCGTGATATTGTTGGGATGGATATTGAGGAACTTTTGGACAGTTCGTTTTCAGGATCTGACATTGCGCTGATAGTTGCCGAGATTCCAGCAAACAGTGGTGAAATCTTGAAGCAATGGGCATCACTTTCGGATGAAAATAGAGCATTCATAATTGAAAATCATTCTCTATTTGATTTCACGAAGATATTCGATAATGCAGATGAATTTTCATCGTTTGTTTCCCACATTTCAACTGGTTCTTCGTCAGTCGAATCCATGAAATGTCTGTTAGACATACAGAAGGATTACTTCTCTTACCAGAAAGTAAGAGGTAATCAAGAATCTGTACCTAATAAAGGTACCTCTAATAATATGTCCATTAATCGTAGTCTTACACCCCCGAAGCCAAAGAACTTTTGCTTTATAGAAAGCAATGCGCTCAGTGTCATAATCTATAATGTGCCCAGCAGTGCAACAGAGCCTCGACTACTTGGCTTATTCAAATCAGTGGGTAGAATTGAAAAAATAAAACGGCAAAAATCTGACAAGACTGCAATCATGACATTTCAAGATTCAGCCTCAGTCTCTAGACTAGTGAATAGTCAGTGCAACTACAGAATGGATGGTTGCCACCTTCACATCAACCCCTACGATGCAAGAAAGAGTCTGGATTACAACTTAACCTATGTCTATGTCGGTAATTTACCTGATTCAGCATCAAAAAGACAGATAACGCAACTGTTTAAATTCGCTGGAAGAATTGTCAGCATCGACCAGCTGAACCGTGAATCTGCTATATTGAAATTTGAGGACACTTCTTCCGCCAGACGGCTGCTGAATTGTGGGAGGGGGTTCATGCTAGATGGTCATGAGCTGGAGCTTGAGGAATGTGAAGAAAGTGATGATGATGATGATGATGATGAGGGTGACGAAGATGATGAAGAGACGGTTGTGTATGTGGGAAATGTCCCAGAAACTACTTCACAAGACGACTTGAAACACTTTTTCTCTGGATTTGGGAGAGTGGTTAATGTTACTATTAAGAAGAGGTCAAATGCGTACCGATATGCTTTTATTAAATTTGAAAAGACTGACTCTGCAATTGCTCTAGTTACAAGCAGTCAGTCAAAGCGGTACGAACTGAAAGGGAATGTCTTGAAAATTGCCAAATCTAATCGTTAGAGCAAGTACCTAGTACGTCTTATTATATCTTTTTTCTGTGCAATTCTATGTAACTTGAACATAGGAAATAGTCGTATGAACCATAGCTTTGCAGTGGTTCAATGATGTCGTATGTTATGAACTAATTCTGCCGAAGATTTGAAAACTGTTTACATGTTTGGTAATATGAGTAGTGCTTAGATTAGAAGTATCTACTTCCTGTTCAGCGCTGTACAGTGTGCATGCTTTGTTAACACAAAATGAAATGTGCTTGCATTACCTTTGTTGATTGTTAATGTAGTTGTTTCTTATGATATTTTCGATGCTATTAAGCAAATTAATATGTTTGTGAATTTTTATTGAAGTGGAATACAGTTTAAGTAGTTTTAATTTTATAGTTTATCAGTTCTGTAAATTTTATATTTGTACATAATGTTATTAGTTTCATTTAAAGTGTTTAAAACATAGATTTTAATTTATATTTTGAATATTTTGTACAGTATTTAATTTTTATTTTGCAATTACTGAGTTTACTTAATTCAGGGCCATTCGACATTTTTTTTTTTTTTTTTTTAATTTCAAAATTCAAATAAACTTTAAATCAATGTATTACAGTTATATTCAATAAAAAGACCACAATATCTCCTGTGAAGCAAAAACATGGAAAAAGAGAGCTAGAAAAATATTCATGATACTCAACACTACCAGACTCAGCTGGAGTGAGAAACAATATGTAAAAACATCAAGGTAAAATTTATTTCGGCTGAACCAAAACACGGTGGTAAGACCATAATTACATTGGTGCCGACCCTACATAAAATCATTAATAAATAATCAAGAGAACAAATTTAAATGTATACGATACCTTCTTGCTACTACTCCACAAACTTACACGACATAACAACAAAATAACATAATTAAATAATATTATAATAAAACAATCTATAATCTAGCCACTCACGTACTGCGTGACGCGCTTGTTTTGGGTTGTTTCATAAGAGAAAAACGGCGCGTTCTACTGCAGGTGCGAGGGGCAAATTATAGAGAGTATGACATTCATAAAGTAAAATATATATATAACAATATTCCATGATGGGCCGTCTAATCAGGCCTGCATACGTCAGAAGACCAGAGAAATTCAGTTAGCTTTGTTTTGAAAATAGAAATTTTCTCAGTCTGTCTAACATAGGCTGGCAGTGCATTCCACAGAAGCATTGTTCTATAAAAGAAGCTGTTTCTGAAACTATCGCAGTTTGGTACAATAGAGCAGGTATATGTGCTGGTGTCAAGTCCTTCAATGACTGATGCCGTGCTCCTTGTGTACCTCATTGTTCCAGCTTCCAAAATAAATTGTAATGTGCTGGCAGTATCAATATTTGATATATTGAAACATTCCGTAGAAATGCGAAATTCTTCAACCTGGTTTTAAAAAGCCCAGATAAAGTTGATCACAGCATAACTTTCGTAACAATTTTATCCCATCAGAGTATTACCATGTCAACGCAGTTGAGCCTTGATAGAGATTTCACACGGTTTCTCAACGACCCAACATTTCCCTACAAAGTGACAGTTTGCATCGGAAATGAACGTATTTTGTGTTCAGGAGCATTGCTCGCTCAGCAAAGTTCAGTTCTTGAGAGGAAAATGAGAGAGGATGATGGTGTGCTGATGTTTGAAGAAATGTTGGACGTGGAAAATAAAAATAACGGTCTTCATGCGTGCATTCGTTTCCTTCATGGAGCAGATGTGAATTTCGTGTTTGAAGATCTTACTGTCATTCTGAAGTTTGCTAGCTTCTACGAAGTTAAAGGTTTGTTCGAGGAAGCGTTGAAATGGCTGAGGCATCATCTTAAAACCTCAAGATCAGTCAGAGATGCCATACAATATTTGAAATTATCTAATTGTTTTCACAATTCTGATAACACCAAGAAGTTAAAATCGGAGATTCAATTTTTTATCAGATCAAACAAGGACATTTTCTGCGCACAAGTTATTGAAAACTTAGATTCGGAGATCGCAGGGTTCGATATCATCAATATTATCAATGAAGATATTGTCAACAGTGTTCAAATATTGAAGAAATGGGCTTCATTCTCTATCGAAAACAGGACCTATGTCATCAAAAATCATTCCAGCCTCGATCTAATTAATTTGTTTCCAAATGAAGATGAATTTTCATCCTTTATCAGTTTTATTTCTGAGGGTAATTCTTCTGCAGAAAGCTTTAAAGCATTATTGGATCTTCAGAAAGCATTCCTTACCTTAAAGCTTAGCAAGGGTCCAGAGCCTAACATTGGAAAGCCAGAATCTAAAGATAATGTCGGATCAAGTGGCTTGGGACTCAATTCTAATCCTGCTAGTTCCGTTCCCTTGTTTTCCCAGAATGAGTCTTCATCAAATATGCCTCCAACTGATCAACCATCTGATCAAATTGGTTTCACATGGAATGAATTAGAAGGTAGTTTTGTGCCCTGCCCGATTTCTGCCAGATTTCCTACAAACCCAGCTGAATTAAGTAAGAAGCCACTTCACAATGAAGATGTTTTTGTCCGGGATCTCCCTCACGGAATATCTAAAAGAAGGTTGCAACGCCTGTTTACATTCTTTGCTGGTAGAATCAAGTCATTGATTATGTTTCCTGGTGAATCAAGTGCTATTGTTAGCTTTGAAGATGTAGCCTCTGCCCATACACTACTGAAGCATGATTATGATAATGGAATCATCATAGATGATTGTAGAATAAGACTGTACCCGCAATTTAATGATTTTGTATGGGGTCACTCTATGATGCATTCAGAGGAACAAGTCTTGATCTGGAATATAACGCCTTCAACATCTAAAACGAAATTAAGAAAACTTTTCTCTTTTGCTGGGCAAATAGCGTCTATTGACATTCACCCTGAGAATTTTCATGCTGTGATAACATATCATACTGTAAGCTCTGCAAAAACAGTACGTGCTTCCGATAGGTCCTTCAATATTGATGGTGTTTTGTTAAGCGTAGAATGAAGAACCGTTTGGTTACATCTTCTTCTTCGGAATCAAGAGAGGAGACAAGTGATGATGAATTCAATGAAACCAGGCTGTACATAGGAAACATTCCTGTTAATGCGGATGAAGAACAACTTAAGCGTACATTTTGCGGGTATGGACGGATTGCTGAACTAGATATTGTAAGACGGGGTAACAGGGGTGTTTATTATGGTTTTATTACATTATAATATGTCCGATCTGTATGAAACTTTTCATACGAAGGATATTGTCTTAGAATTGAGAGTCAAGAGTAATTGATTGCTTGGTTGTGTGTTCATCGCCATTATTATTAAGGATTGTTGAGGGTCACATAAGTTCACATAATAGTCTGAAATATATGCACAAAAATAATGATTACTTTAAACTGATAAGGCTTACTCTATAAGAACACTAGTACTAGAATGGCCAGTTTTTATTCTGAAATGGCTAATAATTTCCAGCAACTATTGGTTATTGTTATAAATTATAACATTATGTTAATTAGTTTACTTGTGGCATCGTTATGACTGGTTTTTGACGAATCACAAATTTTAATTTTTTGATTTCGTTATTCAACGTTCCGACAGTTTAATTCGTGGAATTCATGATAATATGACAATGTCATAATATAACAATGTCATTAGTTCAGAGTTGAAATTGAAAATCAATGTTTTTAATCATGGTCTTAATGATACTGTTTATTTCAGTTTAATATGATTTAATATTGTACTGCTATAATAGCAGTGTGATTGTTTTATATTTTAATTACAATGTTGAACTTTTTATAAATTTGGGTAACTGCACAATTTATTGTAGTTTTGTCTTTATGTTAATCATAACTGAAAAAATGTCATTGCATTATAATATAATATTTCAATGGCATGTTTTCGTTTTATTATCATGACCACTGATGAGTAATTTTGATATCCGGGGTGCTTGATCCTTACTTTGTAGATTTTAGAATTTATTGCTGTTTAAAGTTTGAAATGATAAAACGAGTGTCTATTGTAATGAACAAAATAAGCGTGACAGTTGGCTCCAAAGCTAAGGTCAGTTGGCTCCATCTATAATAGACCTTCTTCTAGAAGTTCTTCATCCTATCAGAAATTATACAATTGTTAAACTCAGCAGTCAAAATCAATTGAAAATGAATCACAGATGACAGTAAACAAAAAATCAATTACAAAGCATAATTTTATTATTAGTATTAAATAGAGTTATAAAGGGTGATCTTCACGTAGCTGCTCTGTTGTCGTTCTATTGCAGCAGTGATTTCTTTGTTGGATCCACGATAATTCCCTACTTGCAGTTCATCTGCAAAGAAGCTATCTGCCCTATTTTAAATTGTAGATTGCAATGGAATGGAAGCTGGCTGGAATCAAGTTCCGCACGTCATGTGGTCTTACTGTTATACTCTGTATGAGACTTTCTCGAACAGTAAAGATTTGCTTTGCCATTATGCCATATTACGTAAACTAGTTATAAAGAATATTTCATTTTACACACTATTCAGCAACTAACTTCATATTATTGTATTGAAACATCACTCTGATCCTATAGTGCTAGATGGAGCTGGAGACGGATGTAAGCAAACTGATCAGGTACAGCGAGAAGTATTGTGACAGTCAGTATGAGTACAGACATGTTACTCTACCAGAGGCTATCAGCAAAAAAGTAAGTATTTCGTATTTTTTTAAATGTTGTGTGTTTATTGTTATAACATGTTTTGACGCTTTGTAGCAATTTTTGCATAACATCCTGGCCGTAATGTTGCATATCAATCTGACCGTAATTAGGCTATTTGTCGAACATCCAACACCGATTAAGAATACAAGGAGCTGCTTTAGAACCGCTTTCTAGCCAGCACAGTCAAGAGATGTTTACGCTTTTTAAAGCTTTAAAGAGTCTAGGGCCAGTTAAAAACCATAAAAGTCCTTTCTACTTCAAATTAGAGCGGATGGTACCTGGCATATCGAATTTCTTCGATTGATTTAGGACAGCCAATTATAGCATAAGTTATATTATATTCATCATGCACTTATCTCAAAAAGTCAGCAGCTGCCCACTATAATACACTATACAGATCAGGGTTTATTAGAGTAGTGATACACTCCTGGCGAAGGATATCTCACAAGAGTGCTGTTGTATTATAGTATTACCGGTTTCGGTCCAATAACTTTTAACTGTTAGCTGATATCCTACCTTTATCGTCTTAATAATGATAATAATAACGTTAACTAACAATGATTATTTATTATAACTATTGACATCAACACCTGTTTCATGAGGTATCACAGTTTTGTGTCGGGCAATAACTTAACTATTCAGCCATTTTGTCATGCCGTTATTAAATACACCCATTACCAACCTTTGTTCGGTATAGAATTGTAAGGATTTAAATAATCTAAAACTATTAATTTAAACAACTGTCCCACTCTGCAGATACCGTCGACACACCTACTCACAGAGTCAGAGTGGAGGAACCTGGGTGTCCAGCAGAGTCCAGGGTGGGTCCACTACATGATCCACCCTCCAGAGAAGCACATCCTCCTCTTCCGTCGTGCTATCTCCACCACTTCCAGAGCTACCCAGGCAGCACCTGTACCTCCTCAAGAGCTGCAAGTTGCTGGTGCTTGATGCCTGGAGTAGTGGAGTCAGGCTTGCCTGGAGTCAAATACCTCAAGTTTGACTGAGACTCCCGATTAAATAGACTCAAGCTGATCTAAACTCTGGAACAGATCATGGTACAACACCTCTTTGACTAAGAAGCCTGACTAAGCTGGCTAACAAGAATCAAGCTCTTACTTCTATGCGATGTGTTTTGTAGACTGTCTAATGTCTCATTAACGATGTACTTGTAGAGATGTGTATATATCAAAGGACACTAGTTGACTTCTGTATCTAGTGAGAGACATTTTGAGAAATATATTCTATTTATTTTGTCTAAACATAGCTTGCTAGTTTGTGGACGAGCACAGCGATGTTGTGTTCATCTACAATGTTATCGTCTTCAAATTTAATTACGGTAATATTATATTGCATAATATGTTTGAGTAAAGTAATGATCTGTAACCTTTCAGTCAGTTCTGCTGGTACTTTTTATGAAGGTAAAGGATCTCACCCCACTAAAATTGTGAAATCCACCTCAAAATTGCCGCATTATTCTAAGAAATTCACCGCATATTTTTGGAATTCTTGCCGAATTATTGCCGTACCTTTACCGAATTACACCCTTATTAGACGCATGCGTTACCGGATTAAAACCTAAATTTGACCCCTCCTCATGAAAAGATGAAATATGATGCCTAAAGCTCTGTCATGTACTCACATCGTCGTTAAAAAGACAATTTGTAACTAGCTGATTTATCATCATGTCACTAAATTGCATCGATCACGAAAGTTCATACTGCGAAATTGAATGACAGCGCAGAATATTATAACTATTTAGCGATAAATATTATACGACTATTTATGTTTGTGCACAGCTTTTACTTCCCAGTAGTTGATGTTTTGTTGGATGGTATTATCAAACTCCGTGTGTACTGGCTATAATAGTCTATACATATAATATAATCTCTGAAATGTTTGTGCGATTCTGACATGAATCAGATCACGTGAGTTATTAAAGGTTTTGCGTGTGGGTAATTACTTCTGCGCCATCCTGTATATTAAGAGGCAGTGAAACTATATAATGGTTATAGGATAAAACCACCTAAAGTTGTGATTTTATCGTTATAACGTCATAACGTCATAATCTTACCTTGAGTATATTTAAAGCCTAAAGGTAGCCGGAATAACAGTAACCTCACGGTATGACTAAGGTGGTATTGTGCAATAGGATATTCATTTGTGAGATGGTTGTTTCTCCGCTTCACCAGAATTTTGCTTTAAATAAACGTTTCTCGTCCTGTAATTGAATACGTGTAACTAAACGAAAGTAAAGTGTTATCAGCTTTTGACTCTCTGCTTTGTAGTTTGTTGTACACTGAAGCTTGTACAGTTTCTGTTTGGTGACTTGAGCCCTCCTAGTGTTAGTCTTATTTCGCAGTCTGCTCCCCATGACTATATTCGGGGACACCTCCGTAGTGTTGGATCACGTGACATACATACACAACAATACTGTCTGGGACAATGCTGCTAACTACACTTACGGCTCCCTCCTCATCATCCTCATCCCGCTTGGTGTTATATTCAATTCTCTGGTCTACATGAAGAACCACATTCACTCCGAAACCCCCTCCTCTGTCATCTACCGGTGTCTTGCTGTGTCTGATTTGCTGGTCTGCACTTGCCGGGGTCTGCAACAAGCCACCACTCTGTTCTCAACCACTCAGCAGTCCTTCTACGACAACACCACACCCTCCGTTCTGACACGTGTCATCGCTCTTGTTACCATGACATCAGGTATCTGCATGATGACTGTCATCACTCTGCTAAGCATGATGAGACTCTTGAGTTTGGTGATGCCGTTTTGGGCCCGAGCCAACTCAACTAAAATCAAATACTTTGTCATAACTTACATTCTCATCACTCTCGCAGTTTCGATCGGTATCTCTGTGCAATACCTCTTCAGAGACAAGGTGTACTACTCCTCCGTTACTCAATGGGTAGTGCCCTTCACAGGGGAGACTGCTCAGTACATCATCGACGTGATTATCCCCGTGGTGTGCATGTCCCTGACCTCCCTCTCCTCCTTCCTCACCATGGGGTACCTCATCAAGACAGGAACATCTGCCAGAAGGAGGAGCAGTATAACCATCCTACTCATGTCTGCTGGAGTTATTCTGTGGAACCTCATGCTCTTTGTTGCTCTCACTCCTAAAGGTCTTCCCATTGATCACGACGGTATGCTTATCTTCCTGAAGAAGGGACAGTATGAGATGTACTATGTATATTACATGATGACGTGCTTTTTCCCGATCTTGCTGGCGGTTTATAACTCGTTTGTAGTGGTGATGAGGAGCTCTGAGATCAGAGAGTTTGTACTCCGAGCATGGGTTTGGGTTGGAACTGCGTACCAGGCTGTTAGGAGTGTGCAGGTGAGGGAAAGTAACACTGAGACTTCCCGGCTCATCCAACACAGTTCAAGTTCATGAGACGCTTGTTTTTGTATGGAACTGGAATATTGTGATCTGATATCTGCTAATAGTAGTCTGCTATTTGTGCTTGGTGTCGTTAGAAATGGAACCCTGAAGTTTTGCTATGTTATACTTGTATGAAGCTGTGTCGGGTCACATTCCTCATTTCTGCACCATCTCAACATTTTTATTATTTAATGGATAATTTAATATATAAGTATTGTACCAAGTGAATTTTATTACGACCCAGCTAGGTCACACAGTATCCTTTGTAAACTTGTATTTAGACTTGATATATGTATTCGAAGTATGTGTCGTGCTTTTTTCTCTGATGGCATATTTTGGGTTAATAAACAAATATGATAAATAAGTCTAGTTTTCTGTGAACTATTTGAAATTTTAATATTTTATAGATTATACAGTATGACGTTACAGTGATATCTGTGTATTGTAATAGGTACATTATTAACAGGAGGTGACCGGGATTCCCGGTTCCGGGAATCCCGGTACCGGGATTGGCAATTTTGAGCTATCCCGGTCCCGGTCCCGGTCCCGGTCCCGGTCCCGGTCCCCGTCAATCACTCAAATTTGCCGGGATTTTGACCGGGCTCTTTTACATAATTTCATTCACTGTGATTTTAAGTTTTTCCTTTCATTCATTGTGAATTTCATCTTTAAACATCCTCTGAGCCAAATACAACAATGTTTAAAATTGCTAAACAAGTTTGAGTAATAAATTATGATCATGAATTAACCAGTAATCGACCGGAATTCCCGGTACCGGGATTGGCAATTTTGAGCTATCCCGGTCCCGGTCAAGTCACATTTTTCATCCCGGTCCTGGTCCCGGTCCCGGTAAATTGATAATCTCTTTGAATCTCAGTCCCGGTCCCGGTCCCGGTCAAGTCACATTTTGTATCCCGGTCCCGGTCCCGGTCAGGCCAGAAATCATGTCCCGGTCACCTCCTGATTGTTAATTTTTTTTTTTTAATATTTGAAAATTCAATTAATCATTATATATATAAATCAAGCGTTACATTTCAGCCATGCAAAGTTACAATGACATATTTTGATATACTAAATGATAAATGGTACTGCAATATAAGTTGCTTAATATTTGGCCGGATGACAACTAACGAGAAAAATAAACTTGATTATATAATAATTAATTCGGCTGAACCAACACATAGCAAGAGCCACATTAACGTTGGGGCCGTCTACCAAATTTGAATGACAAACATTAACAAGTAATCAAACATATCATAAATAATTATAAGGATTTTGTTCATTACAATTCCGTCACAACTGATAAGAAAAAAGAAAAGGACAAGCAGATAGGAAATTGGACGGACAGAATTGTAATCAACAAAAACAAATTTCTTAGACTCATAAGACTGATGAGCTAATCTGGCCAGACTGTATCGGCAGCCCAGAGGTACTTGATCAGTTTGGCCTTAAAAGTAGAAATCCGCTCTGACTGCCGGATACATACTGGTAGACTATTCCATTTCAGCATAGATCTATGAAAAAAGCTATTTCGGAAGGCATCCATAATTTACTTGTATTATTTTTATTCCTTGTTTTATTTATCAATAATTATTGATCCAGAAAGGTTTGCAAGTTACTAATTTGCTTACACACACACTTCTTGACCCAATAAAGAAATTTGGGTAAAAATTCAGAATTTCAAAAATGATCTTTAAGCACATTTGACAGAAAACGGCAGAAATGGTGTGTTGATAATCAATACATCATATATTATCTATCTTTCATTTGAATTTCGTTGTATCTAATTTTTCAATATCCTAGAATGTCTAAAGATTTAAAAAAAGAGATCAAATCAGAACAAGTGGAGATCTCTGAGAAATCCAACGGTTTCCTCTGCCCAATGTGTGGAGCACATTACTTTTCAGAAAACTACTTTGTGGAGCACATCAAAGAACATAAATCAGCATCAAATTGTTCCATAAAACAAGATATAGCATCTGAATCAGATAAACCGTCTGTTTTTATCTGTCCAGTTTGTGCTGAACATGTTTACTCAGATACCCAATTAATAGAACATGTAAAACAGCATCATGGTCAGAGCAGCCGAAAAGTGCCTGACAACCTTGATAGTGCAGATAACTCGACTGTAACAGATCCTGAGATGACATTAGTTATGTCTTCTACTGAGAGTTTGTCTGTGAAACCTTTCAAATGTTCAGAGTGTTCATTTGCTACAAAACATAACTTTAGTCTAACTGCACATATGAGAATTCATTCTGAAGAGAAACCCTTCAAATGTTCAGAGTGTCCATTTGCTACAAAACATATATTTAGTCTAAATAATCATATGAGAATTCATTCTGGAGAGAAACCCTTAAAATGTTCAGAGTGTTCATATACTACAAGACGATCCAGTGATCTTGCTAGACATATGACTATTCACTCTGCATCTGGAGAGAAACCCTTCAAGTGTTCAGAGTGTTCATTTGCTACAAGCAGTAATAGTGGCCTTACTAGCCATATGACTATTCACTCTGGAGAGAAACCCTTTAAATGTTCAGAGTGTTCATATAATACAAGACGATCCAGGGATCTTACTAGACATATGACTATTCACTCTGAATCTGGAGAAAAACCCTTTAAGTGTTCAGAGTGTTCCTTTGCTACAAAACATAAATTTTATCTAACTACACATATGAGAATTCATTCCGGAGAGAAACCCTTCAAGTGTTCAGAGTGTTCATTTGTTACAAGACAATCAGGTAATCTTACTAGTCATATGACTATTCACTCTGGAGAGAAACCCTTCAAGTGTTCAGAGTGTTCATTTGCTACAAGACAATCAGGTAATCTTACTAGTCATATGAGAACTCACTCGAACAAGAAATGAAGAAACCCTACAAATTTTCAGAGTGTTCATTTGTAACAAGACAATCAGTTATGAGGCTATCTTAGTACACATTATATGAGAACTCACTCTGGAGAGAAACCCATTCAGAGTGCTTATTATATATATGCTAATCGAACCATATAGAACATTTTTAGATGGAACTGGTGTGGGGACTGGGGCAATGATTTTTGTAACCATTTTATTGGTATCATTTTGTTAAACGTCCGAAGATTTCTCCTCAGGGCGAAAAGCGTTTAAATATAATTTCATGCTTAAACACGAGTAGATTCGCCTTTTTTGATTTATTTAGTTTTTCAAACTTTATTTTTAATCATAACTGCAACTTTTATTAGAATTAGATTTAGAACTAGAATTAAAATCAAATTTACACTTCAAAACAATATGAATGAAAATTATTTGCAAAGAATCTTTAATCTGCAGCTGTGCAGCTAGGTCACACAGTATCCTTTGTAGACTTGTATTTAGACTTGATAATATGTATTCGAAATATGTGCCGTGCTTTTTCTCTGATGGCATATTTTGGGTAAATAAACAAAAATGTTAAAGAAGTCTAGTTTCTGTGAAATATTTGAAATTTTGTATTTGATTATAATATGACGTTACAATGATGCCTGTTTATTGTGATATCTTGAAGATTGAGGTACATTGTTAATACATAATTTACTAAGTATTGTTCTCTTCCTTAGTTTATTTATCAACAATTATTGATTCAGAAAAGTTTGCAAGTTACTAATTTGCTGACACACATACTTCTTGATCCAATAAAGAAATCTGGGTGAAAAAATTCAGAATTTCGAACACGATCTTTTAGCACATTTGTCAGAAAACGGCAGAATTGATGTGTTGATAATGAATATATCCATTTCTTTCCGGCTTTCATTTGAATTTCGTTGTATCACGGTATGAATGCAAAATTTCTTGACGGTCGAATTTACAATTAATATAATGTGTATGTTATTATTTATCTAATTTTTCAATATCCTAGAATGTCGAAAGATTGTAAACAAGAGATCAAATCAGAACAAGTGGAGATCTCAGAGAAATCCAACGGTTTCCTCTGCCCAATGTGCGGAGCACATTACTTTTCAGAAGACTACTTTGTTGAGCATATCAAAGAACATAAATCAGCATCAAATTGTCCCATAAAACAAGAAATAACATCTGAATCAGATAAACCATCTGTTTTTATCTGTCCGGTTTGTGCTGAACATGTTTACTCAGACACCCAGTTAATAGAACATGTAAAACAGCATCATGGTCAGAGCAGCCGAGAAGTGCTTGACAACCTTGATAGTGCAGATAACTCTACTGTAACAGATCCTGAGAAGACATTAGTTATGTCTTCTACTGAGAGTTTGTCTGTGAAACCCTTCAGAAGTTCAAAGTGTTCATTTGCTACAAAACATAAATATAGTCTAACTGAACATATGAGAATTCATTCTGGAGAGAAACCCTTCAAATGTTCAGAGTGTTCATATATTACAAGACGATCCTGTGATCTTACTAGACATATGATTATTCACTCTGCATCGGGAGAGAAACCCTTTAAATGTTCAGAGTGTTCCTATGCTACAAAAGATAAATGTAATCTAACTACACATATGAGAATTCATTCTGGAGAGAAACCCTTCAAGTGTTTAGAGTGTCCATTTTCTGCAAGCAGTAATAGTGGCCTTACTAGCCATTTGACTATTCACTCTGGAGAGAAACCCTTTAAATGTTCAGAGTGTTCATATAATACAAGACGATCCAGGGATCTTACTAGGCATATGACTATTCACTATGGAGAGAAACCCTTTAAGTGTTCAGAGTGTTCATTTGCTACAAGACAATCAGGTCATCTTAGTACACATATGAGAATTCATTCTGGAGAGAAACTTTTTAAATGTTCAGAGTGTTCATATAATACAAGACGATCCAGGGATCTTACTAGACATATGAGAATTCATTTTGGAGAGAAACCCTTCAAGTGTTCAGAGTGTTCATTTGCTACAAGACAATCTAATTATCTTACTAGACATATGAGAATTCACTCGAACAAGAAATGAAGAAACCCTACAAATTTTCAGAGTGTTCATTTGTCACAAGACAATCAGTTATCAAGCTATCTTAGTACACATATGACAATTCACTCTGGAGAGAAACATATTCAGATTGCTTATATATATGCTATTCGAACCATAATATAGAATTTTTAAAGATGGAACTGGAACTGGTATGGGGGCTGGGGCAATGATTTTTGTAACCATTTTATTGGTATCATTTTGTTAAACGTATGAAGATTTTTCTTGGTGAAAAGTGTTTAAATATAATTTCATGCTTAAACACGAGTAGATTCGCCTTTTTGATTTATTTAGTTTTTCAATCTTTATTTATACTCATAACTGTAAGTTTTATTACTAAGATTATAATTAGATTTAGAATTAAAATCAAATTTACACTTCAAAACAATATGAATAAAAATTATGCATGAAGAATCTTTAATCTGCTGTGCAAAACATTCAAATCAGTCTAAAGCTGTTAAAAAGTGCACTTTTCAAGACTTTTAATCAAAACATATTATATATATATATAAGAGGAAAAAGGTCAACCGTACTTCGTCTCACAGACATCAGAGGACATTGATCAAAGGCACCCTTCCGAAGGTTGAAGACTTATCAATGGAAAACATGTCCAGAACAGTTGTTAACCTTACAGACAAGGAGCTCACCAAAGAGCAACTATATGTCTTCTTCTTGTCTCATAAGTTTGCACCTACACCTCCCCTACCAGATCTGAGTCGCTTCGAGAACGATTTGTGTACATGGTTTTCCAAAATGAGAGCCAAAGTTGTTTTTGATAGCTTCAAATGTGGACCCAACAAAGCAGATAAAAGAGTTACTGACATGGAGCGCTGCCTCATCAAGGCCGAATCATCACGTACTTTTGAATCATGTAAAAACCCTGCACTCGAGGCATTCATTAAATGCTGCAGAGCAGAAGTTGATCTCCACCGGCCAACTCAGAAGTATGTTTCACCAGACAACATCGCTGCACCTATCAGATCAGCTCTCAAAGAAGTGAAAGGATGGAAGGATGTGGTTATTAGACCTTTTGACAAAGGGGTAGGATTCTTTCTTCTTGGAGAGGAAGAATATATTCAACGAATAGGTGTACATTTGAATGATAGATCTGTATATAGTATTGTAAATAATGTAGATGATTTAGTTTCAGAATTAATTGATAAAATTTCATGTTGGACAGTCAAGTATAAAGAAGAATTAGGTATGTCTAAGAAGGTCAGGGAGTGGGTTATTCCGTGTACGGAGCTCAACCAGCCTGGTAATATGTACCTGAATCCCAAGGCCCACAAGCCACCTTTGTACCCTGGGAGGATGATTACTACTGGATGTGGTTCGTACATTGAGAACCTATCTGCCCTGACTGCATACGAATTGAAGAAGGCTATTTTAGATTATAGAATTATTGACACCCCACATTTTTTGAGGAAGATTGATAGCTTGAATGAGTCGACCATATTGTTGGGTAAGGAGGTGATACATGTTGCCATAGATATATCCAACATGTTCACCAATATCCCCAGGGATATGGGGATCCAACAATGCACCAAGCACCTGAATGAAAGAAGTAGTTATGATCAATTGTTCAGTACAGAATGCATTATTAGTGCTCTAGAATCACTCTTGATTACAACATAGCTTCGTTCAACGGTATAACATACCGTCAGGAGCGTGGAGCGGCGATGGGTCCTAAGAACTCATGTGAGTATGCAGATTGTGCAATGGATAAGATCGATATTTTAGTTAATGAAAGAGATTTAGAACATGGCCCGCCACACAGACCAGCATTCTGGGGTAGGTTGCGTGACGATATATACATGGCCTGGCCTGGTACTGTTGAGGAGCTTCTACAATTTATGGAATGGCTCAATAGTATCCATCCGGACCTTGTGTTTACTTACGACTACTCTAAGGATGGTGTTGAGTTTTTAGACACCTATGTCTATGCTGTTGGCGATGTTATTCATACCAAACTTTACTCTAAGCCCAGTGACACCCACTGCTATCTCATCCCCACCTCATGTCATAGGAGCCATGTTCTCAAAAACATACCCTATGGTGTGGCGAGGCGAGTGAGGCAGAACAATAGTGAAGACACTAATTTCTTAGAGCAAAGGGAGGTATATACTGGTTACCTTGTAGCCCGTGGTTACCATTCTAGTATTGTAGACGATGCTTTTAACAAATTTAGTGATATAACCAATAGGAAAAACTTGTATGCCCCTAAAAATAAGGATGAGACGACTACTTGTCTAATACCCATGGTGATGGATCAGAATCCAGCACTTCCCAACATGGGGAGCATTATTCACAAGTATAAGCACCTTCTTAATCTCGATCCAGCCTTGAAGAAGCTAGTACGTGCTGACAGTGTATTTGTAAGTCACCGAAAGAATCAAACTATCGGTGGCATGCTTGTACACAATAAGTATCGTGCTAGTGGAACTGTAAGCAGTGATAGAGATGGAGAAGCCACTGCTAGTCAATTTCTTGAACCAGACGCTGCAATATTGCCGGCTGTTCGGGAGGCTGACAACGCAGGGTGCCATGCCTGTGGAAAATGCTATGTTTGTAAGCAAAGTTTCCTGTCCCCTTGTTCCAAATTTAGTAGTCACCATTCTAAACAAGTTTTCCCTATTACTAAATATATAACTTGTCAGAGTAATAACCTTATTTATTTAATGGAGTGTAGAACTTGTAAACAGTCGTATGTAGGATATACTACTTCTAATCTCCCTAAGAGATTTTCTAATCATAAGAGCCACATTAAGAAAGGTATCAGAAGTTGTAAGTTAGTAAATCACTTTTTAGATATTGATCATGATTTAGATTTTAGTTCAGTAGCCTTATATAACTCTTCACTTAGTACGCACCTTTCTGTTATTATAGTGGACGCTCTTGAATTTAAACCTGAAATAAGTCAAGCAGATAGGGAAAAGGCCATGGAAGCTAGAGAGGGGTTCTACCAGACCCAATTGAAAACCCTTGAGCGTTATGGGGGTATGAACACCCTCGATAGTAACCACATCCTTTTTAAATCCGCTGGAGCTTAGTGTTTAGTTTATTTATTTTATTTGACATGATCTCAGCCTATTAACCCGTGTTTAGTTTACAATATTGCTATCAGAGACGTGTTATATTCATTACTATTTATATATTTTTACTGCTTGATTCAGAGAAATCTAGCTTTTTCCGAGAAACTAATCTTTAATAGATTAGATAAAATGTACGCAGCCATTATTTTCGTTTGATTATTACTCAGTATATTTTAGTTTTGTACCGTTTTAAGTCACATAGTTTTGTACGTCTTCCTAAGACTTGTTTTCCTTTCCTAGTGTGTAAGTTATTTTAAAGATTTGTGAATATTCCAGTTGCTTTTAGAACAATTTTATCTCAGATAACGATGTTTAATAAAATGATGCAAAGACTTATTTCGAAGATCTAATCAACACCGACTTTTAATGTGTAGGAGTACAGCTACAAAATATATATATACTATATTATCTAATACTATATTATCTAATACATTTTTAAAAGTAATAAGTTTAATGGATAACTTAGAGTGAGTTATTACATGAAACTATGAAAAACAATCTGAACAAATAATAAAATAACTGGTATTGGTTGGCTTTTCGAATATTTTAGAGAATATTATTCCAACTCTTACAATTTATCTTTATATTGGGTAAAAGCAGTTACAATTTCGAATACCGCCGAGAGAATTCCCTTCAAAACCAAATAGCGCTGTTACTAACGGAAGTTATGTTAACTTTGGTGAAAAATCATAACTACTCGCACACAACTGAATTTAGGATATTTCAAAAGCTTTTCGTTTTAGATCCATATAACTCCAACATCAAAATGACATTCGTTTTGAAAACTTTCACACCGAAACGTTTAAGCGTGAAAGTTGTTCGTAAACGAGGGTTAATCAAGCACCAACGTATTCACACTGATTAAAGCTTTTTAAGTGTGATTGTTGTCCGTACGATTCTTTATCACGCCATGTCCCTCCCCCCATGTCCTAACCCCCCCCCCCCCCCCCCCTATATAGCCTTATAGATAGAAAAGTTGCATCGCCAGCTTTCCTCGAGTATCACTATCAGTCCTCTTTAAGTCTTTACTCCCCAGCATCTACATGTTCATGTTAATATTTCGACATAAAGACTATTATAATAGAGGCTGCCAATTTGAAATCCTGCCAAAAATTGCTTACAAGAATATCAATCACTGTCTTAAAAATATATAGAAGTGTATATTTTAAGTATACAAATTGAGTGGTACAAAGTTCATTGACCACTTCAAGTTGAACTACTTGCTATATATCTACAGTTGTAGCCAATTCACAAACGCTCGTTTGAACATCACATTCCTATGAACTTTAAGAAATTAATTATTATATAACTTTATTCAAATCAAAAATAGAGCATAAATGAATATCTTAAAGATCTGTTAAGTAGCCTGAAAAAAAGAAATACTGATACACACGCTATAACAATTTCTTCCATCCCGCTCTATCAGAGGCTAAAAGTCTTAAAATGTTTAATTTTTAAGAAATAAAATACTAATTAATTAGTTTATGAACAGCACTTTAAAACCTCAGAATGTCAGCAGATAACGAATCAGACGATGACGGAGATCTGGAGACCATGGTCATTACTCTCGGATCACGGATGATAAAAGCAGCCTACGCTGGGGAGAAAACCTGTAGATACCTCTCCCAACAGGTCCACTCAGGGACTACGGGTGGAAGATGAATAATTAAAATTTCATTAGCATATTGTTCCCTTCATTGTGCTGATTCCGGGAAGCATTCTCTTTACGCCCTTTATCATACTGTAGAATGAGATATCGTTCATTTAAAGCTTTTTAAATCTCCCAACAGGTACACGTTCTCACCACAACAGACTCAACTCTCATAGAACAGGTACACGTTCTCACCTCAACAGACTCAACTCTTATAGAACCTGATGAGGGCAAATCTATCCCTTTGTTAGACACCACAGAAGAGAAAGTAAACCAGAAACAAGCTTTAGTGACTGCTCTGAGAAAATGCTGGTCCGAACAGTACGGTATTAATCTGCAGCCGACAGAGACTCGTTTAGCACTAGTCGTCCCCACCAGATCATCCACTCTCCTCAATGAGATTGCTGATCTGGTGTTCTCGGAGCTGAAAGTGCTGTCACTGTGCGTGATGACGCCCGGAGAAGCGGTTGGGTTGATTGATGATGGGGAGAACAGCGTGGTTGTTGATATCGGGTACAGGGAGACCCGGGTAGAGACCTTCGTGGGGTGGCAGCTAGTGGACCGTATTATAGTGGTCAGGGGAGGGTGTGATGTAGTGAAACTATCCGGTGGTACGGATCCGAGAGAGGTTATCTTCAGTGCTGACTGTCATTCTCGTAGTATACCAGACATCGTGCGTAGTCTCTTGGAGAAGTATGATAAAATATCAAGAGTGATAGCTGTCGGCAGTACGTCGTATAAATTGGACAGTCAGTACTTTGAAGATAAATGTGGAGTTAGCTACACTAACAGCCGCTCTATAAAATATCACCTTCCACCGGAGCGGAACAAGAGTGCCTGGCTTGGAGCCTCCATAGCAGGAGGAATACCGCAGTGTAAACACAGGTTCTATACTGCTGGGGAGTGGAACGAGAAGGGGACTATTTACACTCCACTGATAAAGTCCTGAATATGTAATGGAAGATGGAATTTTAATGAGTCGCTTCTAACTTGGGAACTATTGTAGTTTGTTTGTTTGTTTGTTTGTTTGTTTGTTTTCAAGAGCTAATTGCCACTTATGTCCAGCTCATTATATAAAATTATATAATGTAGGACTTCTAGGCAGATTGCTTGGTTGTGGGACACACTCGACTTTAAGAATGAAGAAAAACCACAATCTCACTAGTGAGATATCAACAGAGTGTGCACCACTGCCTGACTTACCTGTGGTTTGAGAATAGAAGAGAGTATCTTCCGTGTTGTTGAGATTCTGTGAGTCCTTTGGCCACGTTGCTGGTTACAGTTGTAGTTTAGTTATTACTGAAATACCAGGTCGGTAATAACTCTCTAATAATGACTCCTCTAATTTTCATTAAACAGAAATTAGAAACGTTCATTCCTCAGAAGAACAGTGCAAAATGATGATGTGAGACACAATCGCCCGATTTTATTTGTGATTGGTTTAACCATTATAATCAGCGTATTACAAGTGGACAAGTTGGAATTAGAGGTGATAGTTCAGCACATCTAATATCTTGCTAACTTTCTACTACAACTTCACAACTTGATGAAACAGTGAATCTCTGGTCGCATTCTGTTGGCTGTATTTGATTATAATATTGAACTTGATAATATATAATACACTTTCTTTCTGACTCCTTTTATTGAGCTTTGTTAAATTGTTGCTAATTTTCTTTAGTAACGTTAAATTTTGTTTAGTGCGTTGAACATTTTTGTATCATTTCATATTTTGTAACGTTTGATTCGGATTCAATCTGTATCTACACGATTAAAGTAGTGAGTTCGATTTTATAGGTAACTTCTGTAAATAAAGAAATAAGTAAATGTTGATGTATTGTTAAGATTTTTATTCATTTTCTCTAGACCATTTCTTCTCACCTTCGCTCTCTATGTGCGTGGAATATTCCTAAATTATGACCTTTTCTTTTTTATCCACAACATATTCCGTGTCATATGATGAACATCATTATTCATTATACTGACCACCTGCTACTCCTCCTACCAGGAGCTAGTGATGGTAACCCTGTCCCTGTCCCGTCTCGTCTCCTTCTCCCTCTTCATAAGAGTGTGTCTGGTCTTGTACGGGGAGATCCACGACTCTCACTCCTTGTTACAGTACACAGATGTGGATTACAAGGTGTTTAGTGACGCCGCGCGACACGTGCGCTCGGGGGCTTCACCTTACCAACGCCTTACCTACAGGTATGTTTTGTTTAGACTGTCGCTATTCTTTACATGTTAATTGTGTCTAGTTACGGATTCCCACGTTAATTATGCGCATTATACTGCAGAATTATGATAAGTAAATGTGTTCAGTAGATATCCTTTAATTTTCTCACCTTCTACACACCATATTTCATAAGTTCCTTTTAGAGTTTTAGGTATGGTGCTCGAAATACTGCTAGACTAGAGGATTCTAATTTCCGATTGTTCGTTTTGGGCAACTAATTAACAAGCTCCTCAGATCACGGCTGCTCTGTCCACTCAATATTCATGGCTAGTTTAACATAATATGGTCAAATTACTTGATTGAAGTCCCCCTCACCCCATACAGTATAACTCCCTCTCCCTATAGCAGTAAAACGCAATCTGCTAATATTCCTAGTGTGTTCTGTGCTGTTTTATTATTCAACATAATCTGTAAGATTATGAAAAAATCTGATCCGTCAAATTATAACATTTCTTATCTCCGTTATCATGGTTTCTACTTCAATATATCATATTTTTAATGAGGTGCCCACTGAAACTCCGCTATCATTTGTCATATTTTGTGTACCGTACATAATCCGACTGATTTATTACAGCCAGATTAACAGCCAGGTGACACTAGTAAATTACAAATATGCACAGTGGAACACCGTTTGGTTTGTGTTCATTAGATGAAGCCGTATGAGGTAGAATAAGATCTAATCGAATCGTCCGTCAGATATACACCGCTGCTGGCAGTCCTGCTGCAGCCCAACACGATCCTGTCCTGTTTCGGTAAGCTGCTCTTCACTGCCGGAGATCTGGTTATTGGATATCTCCTCTACAAGATATTATCTAGTAGCGGACACGCCCACAACACCTGTATCACAGGCTCAGCCCTCTGGCTCCTGAACCCCATTTCAGCGGGGGTATCCACCCGAGGTAATGCGGAGTCACTGCTGGGTGTTGTGGTTCTGTTCGCACTTTATGCTGTGAAACAGAACCGACCTGTTTCTGCAGGGGTTGCACTGTCGTTAGCCGTACATCTCAAGATTTACCCCATAATATATTCCCTTCCTTTGTATTTGTATCTCGCGTACTGTGTCCCGGGCCATCATTCCTTTTTTAACAGCAGAACTATTCGATTTGTTGCGTCATTTGTTGCGGTACAAGCTGTCTTTTTGTCGACATTTTACTATTTGTACGGCTACGACTTTATCTATGAGAGCTTTCTTTACCACCTAGTGAGGACAGATACTCGCCACAACTTCTCACCCTATTTCTACCTACTGTATCTGACCAAATACGCTCCTATTGGTCAACTCACCAGCTTGATTCGGTTCCTCTGTTTTCTCCCCCAAGCTGCCCTCTCATCACTGTTTGCGATAAAGCAATATGCTAATCTCGAGTTGTGTTTGACCCTGCAGACCGTGTCTTTTGTAATGTTCAACAAAGTTTCCACATCTCAGTACTTTTTGTGGTACTTATGGCTGCTGCCCTTACTCTACCCCTGTCTGAACCTGAGTCTAGTCAGAGCCTGTTCTCTTGTTGGTGTCTGGTTTGCTGGACAGGGACTGTGGTTGTTAACCGGCTTTCTGGTGGAGTTTGAGTGTGCCAACTATTTTCTGCTCATGCACTTTGCGTCTTTGTTCTTTTTGTTGTCGCAGTCTTGGATTGTTTGTTCTTTGATTCGGTCATCTCGAACTGTGACTCCTAAGAAAATGGACTGACAATATTATGTTTAATGTCAGATTGACATTATGGACTAATTTCATTTTTTCTTTAGTCCAACCAGACGCCACATAGCATAGTGACTAGTAAGAGCTCAATTAGACATCAATAGCAGCTCTACCTTTACAGCTTTAAAAATATAGATCAAGTATTTATCTCTTTCACTCCTTACCAACCGCTAATGATAACGCTACAGCGCATTGTCTGAATTCCTGTACAGAAGTTTTCTTTGATATATTTATGTAAAATGTGTGCACTCTCGCCGTTATTACCTTAGAGTTACTGAACTTTGTTGCGATATTGTTTGAAGAATGTAACTTGGTGTTGGACACCAGAGAACTTCACATAGAAGTTATCATGTAGGAATTGTTCCAAAATGGTGATATCTGTAACACAATAGCTGTTGTGATATATAATGATATTGTTTGTACCATTTCGAAGTTGTATTTCTCAAATATGTTTACGTTTTACTGCAACATACCCTTTTCGTATTTACTCTCTTTGTACGAGGCGTGTGTTCCCTGAACATTAGTCATGCCACCTGGTACCTGGTATCCCCAGCTGTTCTCTAAAATACGGAATCTCAGCTATTCCTGTCGTGGTATTTGAGTGTCGCTGCCAAGTTCCCAATCAGTTATCAGTTGTTTTCCTTTAGCTCCTTTCCTCCGACCTAGTCTCTCCTCCAACAACCATTAACCACACGCTTATTTTACCCGTTAGACCTCAGCTCAGTAATGGGTTGTCACCTGTCGTTTAGATGACACATGACAGGAAATATCAGCACGAAACCGTTTAGAAGAGTAGGCTACTGAACCCTAACTTCATATCAGTTAATAACACGAATTAGAGCCCTGAAATACAGCTGGTTTGGGTGGTGGGAGATAGGGTCATTTCTCATTGGGTTTAATTAGTAATTAGGTAACTACATTTAGTTTGGATGGGACATGCACGGAACAGATAATTAACTAGCCCAATATGTCGGTCGTGCGATCAGAACTTTCGTGGAATTTCCGGCGGGGGAGAATTGAGAATTGGTAGATTAGAGAGAAAGGGAGGCTGGTGAGATAAAGAGAGTTGGAGAGAGCGTCACATACTGAATTTTAGGTTTTTGCTTTTTGTTTCTCAGGACTGAACTGTGGCCTCTTGTTGGGAATCAGAGAAGATGTTATTTGTTTTCGATATCTACATGGTGTGCACAGATATTTATACAGTGCTAAGATATTTATAGATTTACATAGCTATTACCCCATTGGAAACCACCTGCTCCATGTTATGAACGGACCTTGGCTCCTTTGATTAAATCTAAAGCAGTAAAATATGACACCAGCACGGTACATTTCTGTTGCCATTGTTAGTTCTTTAGTTACTAGGGTAGTAGTAAAAACATGTAGTTCAAATCGCTTGGACATGGATTATTATGTTATTATGGAACAAAGCAGTAGTTATGTTGTGTAACCAGGAATTGTGCATGATTACTTATCCATGATAACTGAGCTGTTCTCTGTAAAACTCTGTAAAACTTGAGAGGAATTTGAAATAGCCAGGTAGTGTAACCAGAACAGCTGGGGTTACCTACTTACCAGCTTCTAATCAATACTGGGTCCTAGGGGTAGGACACCTGTTAAATCGCTCTATACTCGTTTCACCTAGCTGAAATAATTAGATTAAAGGCGTAGAGTGGAACATGTTATAATGTTTAAATGGATTTTTCAATGTTGTTTTACCTTGGCATGAGTATAGTGGCCGTATAGTGGCCGTATAGAGGCCAAACCTAATCGCCCAATTTCCCGTTATAATTATATCCCAGTGTCACCTAGTCTAGGGAGTAGCTAAGGATCCATTGGATCTACGCGATCTCCTCGGTCGACTCAGCCGGGCCGACTGATAGCAAACTTAATTGAGGGTTAAATCTTTAAATGAGGAGTGGTACCTGTTAAAATTTCAAGAAACTTCCTAAGCTCTAAGATACCCCTTCGGCCTTCAGTACATACTGTAAACACGGTACTATTAACTATTAACTACTATGCTCGTTATTGCGAGGAGTGGGATGGAATTAATACTGTAATGTTATTGTTGATAATTATTAAAATAAGAAGCAAGGAAATGAGAGATTTGTATGAGCAGGGTTAACACACTACTACCTCACTACTTGTAGGCTGTTATACTCAAATACTCGACTATCTCATTTTGGGGCGCCCTTTATTTAGGCTGTACTCGTCTATCTCATTTTGGGGCGCCCTTTATTTAGGCTGTACTCAACTATCTCATTTTTGGGGCGCCCTTTATATAGGCTGTACTCGACTATCTCATTTTGGGGCGCCCTTTATTTAGGCTGTACTCAACTATCTCATTTTTGGGGCGCCCTTTATTTGATAGTGCCCTGACGCAGAATTTGGTGTCTATTGTAACTCACACGTGCGATCCCTGAATATTGGGTATATTGTCCATTATTATATAATATTCACATAATCCTTTTTGTTTTCCTGTCCTGTTGTGTTTTATTTAAGCTGTACTCGACTAGCTCATTTTGGGGCGCCCTTTATTAAGGCTGTACTCGATTAGCTCATTTTGGGGCGCCCTTTATTTAGGCTGTACTCGACTAGCTCATTTTGGGGCGCCCTTTATTTGATAGTGCCCTGACGCAGAATTTGGTGTCTATTGTAACTCACACGTGCGATCCCTGAATATTGGGTATATAATTGTCCAATATTATATATTATAATATTCACATAATCCTTTTTGTTCTCCTGTCCTGTTGTGTCCATTGTATTTGTCAAGCTACAGTAGATTGACAAATACAATGGACACAACAGCTCAGGAAAACAAAAAGTAACTTGAAGCTACTGTTACCCAAAGTTTCCTGATGTTGTACAGTACAGTTATATATAATAACTTAATAAAGGTAATTACTAGCCCTGATATTTGTGTTCCTGTCACATAAATAGTGTACGAAAGGTTGACTTGTTAGCGTATTGTTGCTGTGTAGACTGTAGGGTACTATACAGATGGCTTTAACATCAATGTCAACCACTTGATTGTTGGAGGAAGATCAGAGGCTTTTATTTGTTTCAATCAATAATTTATTATTGATATATAATATATATATTATATAATAATATATATTATATTATATAATAATTGTTGTAATAACATGTCTATCATTTGAGATATTTATTGATCTACCGTCACTTCAACAGAACTTCATATTTTGTCAAACTAGAATTGATCATCGATAAGGCATGATCATCAGCAGTCAAGAATTACTGTAACATTTGTAACCACTCCGGATAAGCATGATATTCGCACTATTGAAGTGGCACTGTACACGTGAATGGTAACAGCGACGTCTCCGACAATGACACATCATGATAATAAGACTGACGATGCAAATTTCCATCAATATTCATAGAACACAGATGGTAGTTGGTACTATCCTCAAAGTAAACTAATCGCTCTGTTAAGATCGCTTTACCTCAATACAAGTGGCGTTGCTCCCGGCATGGCCGGCGGCTTTATTGTTTATGTTTATGAGATCGGAAATCATTTTCTTGACAGCGAGTTATGTGAACGATGTTGATAAAGTTGTTCGTACAATTTATTCTCAGTTAGTTGTCTTTTCATATCTTGTCCTGGCAATCTGCTCTTTTAAAGGCGTATATTGCAAATATATAAATTATACTGTTTCTCATTACATCAATTCTACGGAAAGAAAATAGCGTATTAATTTGCAGTAAGAGACATTTTATTTTGTTGTTCTCTCTCGACTCTCGAGTGAGAAGTCTGAGCTTTATTGACAAAGAAAATGGAATATTATACAACATAGATATAAAAGTTTGTAACGTGGCTGCATTATTGCATTTGCCTTGTTTCGACGGAAACAAGCACCATAGCTTTGTTCCTCAAGAAACAGTACGATATGTGTTAATGCTTTATCTCTTCAAGTTTCTATCAATATATTCGTTTCTTTATGTGCTAGATATACCGATCCTTAGTCATAGCGGAAGGTACCGAACAATTCGTGTGACCAGTTACCTACATTCCCGTCTTGGTGCGGGATCGTATGATTCACCGTTTATTTTCCGTTTATTGTGTGACATAGTTTGCGACGCCTGCAATAGCCAATAGGTATAGACTAGGAAATGACTGACTATCAGCAGACTGTGAAGCTGTGTAACTTACGAACAGAAGAATTTAAATCAAGGTTCGATTTTTAAATGGAGTTTTCCAAGAATTGTACTTACTTTTTTCAGCCAGAATGGGTATGCTCATTGATTTAATTTATTGACTGAATGACTGCTGCAAAATATGTTTGACTTTGATTAACGTATGCTTCAAAAATGTCTAGTGCAGTTGTCACTCTTGTAATATGGAGCCCTGAGTATCATTCATGCATCCACATTTGGTGTAAGTTGCAAATTGTAACAATTAATACATGTGTTCACGGTTTCTAACTTTCTGTTAGTACCGTTACCGCATATATTTTCAACCATTAAGAAATATTGACTTCAGATACGAGGCTATGACAAATAGTACTTAATTCTTATTTTTCAACCTATCATATTATTTAAACCAGTGGTCACATGAGACTATATCGCTAGCATATGACTTGTCATATGAGTCATGACAGTGATGACTAGTCGTGTCGAGTGATTATAACCATTTTGATTAGAGTTGAAGATAACTGGTGCTTCGGTAACTGACAAAGCAGGCATCGTGTATTCAGTCATAAGTCCAAGATGTACATCAGATTATGGCACTAATCCCAGCTTCTTTGTTTCCACATCTATCATCACCATGACAGGTCTGGTGCTGATAATCAGATACGGAACTATCTACACTAGACCCGATACGGGTATAGTGTAGATAGTTCTGTATTTCTGCATAGGAATCAATATTATCGCTTAGTTACGATTTCTTCAGATTCCCGGCAGAAGTGCACCCAGACTGTTATTAATTAAGTGATGGAAACTCCGCTTCTGTGATTGTTTACGCAAGACCTATCATGAAACTCGTGAGATTTTATATTTGTCATGGATCCGACCTTGATTTCTTGGAAAGTTGCTTTTAAATGATTACGCTTCATAGATATTAGATCTGAATACTAATTACTAGTGAGATGAACATCAACCATTTTATTTGTTTTGTCACGTTATAGTGCTTCAGAGTTTGATTTGTATAAACTGGAAGAGGATTGGTCAATTTTTGTCACGACGTCAATAAACTAGGTACATGGCTCAACTTCACGTATGGTTCACGCCTGTCAAACCAAGAAGATCTAGTACATTTAAATTTTAATTTGTCACCATAAGATCAAAGGACTTTATAAAAATTTAAATTTGTGCTTCAATTCCTGCACAAACTTAGATTAAGACTCCGGCGCGTTATCTACAACGCGTTAAGATTGGATAAATAGCTAACCCCTAGATCATATAAATTATGAAAATCTCATCAAAGGTCAACTTTCATACGAGGGTTACTTAC